CTGAACACAACAAAGACAAAAACACTTTCGGCGCCAAATAGCCTCTTGGGCTAAACCACTATACCAACTAAGCTTGAGCAAAGCTCAAACTTAGCAACAGGAACAGGCTTTGTCATCATATCAGCAGGATTATCATGAGTACTTATCTTGCATACCTTTAGCTTACCTTGTGCGACTACATCACGAACATAATGGTACTTGATATCAATATGCTTTGTCCTCTCATGAAACATCTGATCTTTAGTGAGACATATAGCACTTTGACTGTCACAAAACAAGTTAATGCAAGAATCAACTCCACAAAGCTCAGCAAACAATCCTTTCAACCAAACTGATTCTTTACATGCTTCAGCAATAGCCATGTATTCTGCTTCAGTGGTAGACTGGGCAACAACAGGCTGCAACGTTGCCTTCCAACTCACAGCACAACTACCAATGGTAAACACATAACCTGTGAGTGACTTTCTCTTATCCAAATCTGCAGCAAAATCTAAATCCACATATCCAACAAGCCCCTTATCAGTCCTGCCAAACTTCAAGCAAGCATCAGCTGTGCCTCTGAGGTACCTAAAAATCCACTGAACAGCTTTCCAGTGTTCTTTACCAGGATTAGCCATGTATCTACTAACCAAACTCATAGCATGAGATAAATCTGGACGGGAGCAAACCATGGCATACATCAAAGAACCAACAGCACTAGAATATGGAACTCTAGACATGTATTCTACATCCTCATCAGTACTAGCACATTGTAAAGCTGATAATTTAAAATGAGGTGCAATAGGAGTACTAACAGGCTTTGCATCATGCATGTTAAAACGCTGAAGAACCTTCTTAATGTAGCTTTGCTGACTAAGAAATAGCAAACCAGCATTTCTGTCTCTAGTGATTTCCATACCTAGAATTTTCTTAGCAGCACCAAGATCCTTCATATCAAACTCACTACTCAACTGTTTCTTCAATGTAGTGATTTGTTCCTTGCTCTTGGCAGCAATCAGCATATCATCAACATACAACAGCAAGTATATAGGTGATCCATTAACAAATTTAATATACACACAGCTATCAAATTCAGACCTCTTAAAGCCATGTGACAACATAAATGAATCAAACCTTTTATACCATTGACGAGGAGACTGTTTAAACCCATACAAAGATCTTTTCGACTTGCAAACATAATCCTCCTTACCAGGTACTATGAACCCTTCTGGCTGGTCCATGTATATCTCCTCCTCAAGCTCTCCATGTAAAAATGTTGTCTTCACATCTAATTGCTCAAGCTCAAGATCATGCATAGCAACAATACTGAAGAATGTGCGAATTGAACTATGCTTTACAACTAGAGAGAACACATCATTATAATCAACACCAGCAATTTGACTGAAACCTTTTGCTACTAACCTTGCCTTAAACCTCGGAGGCTCGCTAGGAGATAAACCCTCCTTTCTCTTGAAGATCCATTTACAACAAACAGGCTTCTTCTGTTTTGGCAAGTGCATAAGCTCCCATGTGCCATTCTTCTTAAGAGACTGCATCTCCTCCTGCATAGCTGAGATCCACTTCTCACGGTCTCCAGAAACAGCAGCTTCAGTGTATGTGGCTGGCTCAAGAGTATTCTACACCTGTTCAGCACAACTAAAAGCATAATAAACCATATCACATTCCTCAATAAGGCAGACTGGAGCTCCACAACTCCTCTTTTTTCTGCGATGTGCAATAGGTTCATCTTGTGGCTGCAAAACAGGAGGTGAGTGCTGAACAGTATCATTAACATCATTACCAACAATTTCAGTTTCCTGATCATCCACATGCTCCACCTGCACGCTAACATATTGCTGCTCCTTATCAGAACCACCTGGTATGATATCTGTGGGCAAGCTGTCATTAAACATAACAGATTTATTAAAAACAACACTCCTGCTCATGAATGTCTTATTAGTTTCAGGATTCCATAACTTATAACCTTTTACTCCTGAACCATAACCAAGAAACAGACATTTAATAGATCTAGGCTCTAATTTTCCATTATCAACATGAGCATAAGCAGTGCATCCAAAAACTCTCAACTGTGAATAATCAGTAAACATACCAGACCATACCTCAATGGGAGTTTTCTTATTAAGTGGGATAGAAGGCGACCTGTTGATCAAGTAGCAGGCGGTGTTAGCAGCCTCTATCCAAAAACGCTTGTTCATGCGAGCGTTGGACAGCATACAACGAGCCTTGGAGATGATGGTTCTGTTCATGCGCTCAGCCACACCATTCTGCTGTGGAGTGTACGGGATGGTGTGATGCCTAACGATGCCTTCCTTCCTGCAGTAATCATCAAAAGCATCCGAACAAAATTCACCACCATTGTCAGTGCGAAGTACTTTTACCTCCTTTTCAGTTTGCCTTTCTATCATGACTTTCCACTCTTTAAAAGTAGCAAATGTATCATCTTTATGTTTCAGGAAATAAGGCCACACTTTTCTAGAGTAATCATCAATAATGGTAAGCATATAACGAGCACCACCAAGAGAGGGCTTACGAGAAGGCCCCCACAAATCAGCATGTACATAATCAAGTATACCTTTGGTGCGATGAACTGAGGTATTGAACTTCACCCTCTTGTGCTTACCAAAAACACAGTGCTCACAAAACTTCATGTTACCCTGAGTGCAGCCATCCAGCAGGTTCCTCTTCATCAATTCTGCCATACCAAGTTCACTCATATGTCCAAGACGCATATGCCACAGGTTAGTCTTACTAGGTTCATCTTTAGAAACAGCAGCAGCGGTAACAGAACCATGTAATGTACTTCCTCTAAGGACATATAAGTTTGTAGAATTCATATCATCAATCACATAAACGAGAGAACCTTTAGATACCTTTACAACTCCACCTGAACCGGAGTATTTGTATCCTTCCGCATCAAGTGTGCTGAGAGAGATGAGATTTCTCGCCATCCCTGGTATGTGTCTCACATCTTTCAGCATGCGTGTCATGCCATCATGTGTCTTGATCTGTACGGAGCCAATGCCCACAATCTCACGTGGATTATCATCTCCCATGCGCACAACATCTCCATTCTGCACAGACTTGTAAGAACTAAACCAATCTCTGTTAATGCAGATATGAAACGAACATGCAGTATCAAGGATCCATTCATCATGACTAGCAACACAACCAGCAAAAACGACAAGACAATCTCCTGAATCAGAGTTTTCAGCACTGGTAACAACAGAGGCCTTACCATCAAATTTCCTTTTCTCCTTATTCTGCAGCTTCCAGCATTCTTCAATGAAATGATTTTTCTTTTTGCAATACTTACAGAACCTTTTACCTCTGGACTTGGAACGGCCTCTACTCTGGCTCTTGTCACGATCATTGCTATCGTTGTAGGTTCTCTGCTCAGATCTGCCTCTGACCTGCAATGCTTCGCCCTTACAGGACGACACATCAGACTGAACCATACCTTTCATCTTCTCCCTGTTTTGGAGCGCCTCATAAACTTCCGCTAGGGTTAGTTCATTACGGCTTAAAAGTATGGTGTCACGAAAATTTGCATATGAACTAGGCAGTGAGCATAACAGTAAAAGACCTAAATCTTCATCATCAAACTGTACCTCCATCGACGCTAGGTCGGCAACGATCTCTTTAAAGACCGATGTGTGGTTCAGCACAGAACCACTCTCCTGCAACTTGTGCGAGAACAACTTCATCTTGATATGCATCTTACTAGTTAGATCTTTAGACATGCAGATCGATTCCAGTTTGAGCCAAAGTTCTGCAGCAGTCTTTTCCTGCAACACTTCTTGCAAAATATCATTAGATAGATGAAGTTGGATCAGCGACAGAGCCTTACGATCTTTCCGCTTCTCCTCAGCGGTCCATTCAGTCGATTTCTTCTTCCCGAAACTTTCCAGCGCCTCATCAAGATCCGAAGTTTGCGCCAGAACAGCCCGCATCTTGACTTGCCACAGCGAGAATCTCGTCTTGTAGTCTAGTAGTGGTAGATCATACTTCATCGATACCATCGTGAAACCCTAATGTGGGAACAAGCTCTGATACCACTTGTTAGGAAACGATAAGCGAAGAAACGATAAAGAAACAATAGATCAATCATAGAAGACACGAGATTTAACGTGGAAAACCCTCCCAAAGTAGGAGAGAAAAAACCACGAGCGCCAGCCAGCAAAATATCTTCACTATATCTGGGGTGAGGTTATAACGCCGCACGGCGGCTTACAAGAGGTATATATATAGTGGAACCCTAAAAGGGATGACGAGCTGGCCTTTATTAAGTACAAATGAATTTGGATCACAACTCAACACTCTAAGCCCTGCTCCCGTTCTTCCTCTCCTCTACACGCTACTCTCCTCCGTTCGCGCCCGCCCCGACGCCTCCTACCCGGAGTGGCCCTGCTCACAGCCGCGTCGAACCGCGGGCCGGCGACCGCCTCGATCTCCCGAATTGAAGGTACGCGCGAAGGTCGCCGGCGACAGCCTCCCCACGACGACAACACGACGAGGCGGCGCGTGTGCATGAACGCATCCAGGTCGGCGTCCCTCTCCGCTCGTCGAGCTGTCCTGTGTGAAGTGATTCGGCCTCTTGCCCGTGAACGACAGCATCAGCACCGGCGCCGCCGCGCTCGACGCTCGTCGAAACATCGACTTCAAGGCGAGTTTAGCTACTAGCACATGTTTTATTGCAGTCTATTATCTATCTTTGTTTCAAATTATTATATTGAAGTGTTTCACTCTTTTTTAGTCGGATGTTGCACACAATGCATACTGTATTTTCTTCGTTGTCGTACACAATAGGATTTTAGTGTTGCAATAAGTTGTTTTTCATGTTGCATCTTTGGTAAAATAAATTTTGTAAAGTGATGAAACATTTTTCATCAAATAATGGAACATCTGAAATATTTTCTTTAAAATATTGTTTACTGATTGATGAAACATCTTAAATATTTTTTTTTTTTTTTGCATGTGGTGAAACACTGTCCGGTATTTGGACTGGGATCGGACGTCCGATCCCTAGTCCTCTCCGATTCTCCCAATCTCCCCCTCTCGTCTGCCTCAACCTCAAGCCAATCGCGCTCACGCTGGGAGCAGACCGGTCGCCGGTGGCGGTATCAGGGAGTAACGTGTTCCGACGAGGGGCGGCTAGCCGGCTATACTGGTAAGCCCCAATCTATAGCCTTAGGGCAGCCACTGAGCCACCCGGGCGGCGGTGAATTTCCCTTTGCTTTTTATGTATTTCTGCAATTGACGGTGCGCTGCTACAGTTTCCTCTCGAAATCTCGATCCATCCGTATGAAGCAGGGAGCATAACGAGCCCTGCCGGCGGGGGGCGAACGACATCGAGGGACGCTTAGCCGCTCGGAGGGCGGTGGATTTTGTTCTCTGGTAGGTATCGTCAGTTCGTCACTATCTCTGAAGCGGTGATACTGTGTACGAATAGATTGTGTTCGATCAGCATGTCAACGTGGTCGGGTGCTGCATCAATGCCTCTCCGTTCAGCAGCGGGAGTGTTCAGTGCTGCCGACAACAGATTGAAGGAGATTGATACCTTGGTAGGGGAGATCCAGATGGATTTTCGGAGCTTACATACGCCTAACTGTGTGTTCAATGGGGAAGAAATAGAGGATGACGACGATGTCGTTGATCCAGAATACCTCGAGATTATGACACTCGCCGGGCAGATCAGATGTGGAGTTCGGGAACTTCAGACTGCTCTAGACCGTAAGCGTATCTACGATAGCAGCTACGGTGATGAGGACAGATCAATGGAGGAAACTCAGGGGCAAGCATGTTGGTTCCCTTCTGCCTCGCAGCTGGAGCTTGTCATTCACTCACTAGATGCTCAGTTGAGGCACTGCCTCCTCTGCCTTGCAATGTTCCCGGCTGATGAGCTCATCAAGAAGAAGATGCTCATCCACTACTGGATTGGCGAGGGGATCGTCCAGTCCGTTACTGCTGGGAAGGACTGCTTTACGGATCTCCTCTCCAGAGGCCTGATACAGCCTGCTTGCCAGCGACAACACTGCAGCAAGGTGCACTACTGCAAGATTCCCCCCATTGTTAGCAACTTTCTTGTTAAGACGGCACATCGCATGGGGTTCTATCAGTTTGATGGTGAAGGCAAACCTATGGAGGATTTTGACAGCGAGAGGTCCCGCCGTGCATGTCTCTGGGAAAGGCAGATCGGTGGAAGAGGCGATGATGTCAATGAACTCTATGGGCCGTCTAGCTGCAAGGATCTGCTCACACTTTACAACTTCAACCGGCAGTATGTCAACATGGATAAGACTTGGTTGTCTAAACAAGCAGAGATGAGCACTCTCCAGCTCGGGCAGTGGAAGCCGTCATGGAGACACCGCATTGAAATTGTGAGCCCCGAGACCCTGGAGGCGGCAACCATGTGCGAGAGCCTAAAGTACCTCAGCCTCCGAGGCATCTCTCTCATTGAGTATATCCCAGACTCTATCGGCAATCTCCAGAATCTCGTGGTGATGGACCTCAGTGCGTGCCACAACTTGGAGAAGTTGTCAGATTCTATCGGCTCACTTCGCAAGCTGCAGTTTTTGGATGTTTCGGAGTGCTATCTCCTGGATGAAATGCCTGAAGGGATAGGAAGCCTGGAGGAACTCCAGGTTCTGAAGGGTTTTCTTGTGGGTGGCGCCACCAGCAAAAGTAACCCATGTCGTCTAGCAGATCTAGCTAGCTTGCCCAAGCTGAGGAAGCTGAGCATTAGCACTGGGCGGCGAGCATTAGTGGTACAGGAAGATGAGCTGAACAAATTGCAAGGGTGCACAGCCCTTGAGTCCTTGACTATAACATGGGGAGCAGCAGCAGCTGCACAAGGGCCGAAGCGTCAACTGATATCTGGTGTTGAAGGAAGCATCAAAGGAACCTCCATGGGATCAGAGCTGTTGCTTCCTCCAAGACTTGAGAAGCTGGACCTGCGGCGCACCCCCATGGAGAACTTGATGCATTTGCTTCATCCAGGAAATGCTGAGAACTTGAAGAGACTGTATATTCGAGGAGGGAAGCTGAAGAGCTTTGGTGATGTGGAAGGTTGGAATGTCGAGACGCTTCGTGTGAGGTTCCTGAAAGTCTTGGAGTGTGATTGGGAGCGACTCAGAGCTTCATTTGGCAAGCTACGTTTTCTGGAGATGCGTGAATGTCCCAATCTAACTTCATGGGAATGCGACGGCGAAGGTGTTTGGAGGGAGGACGATGACAATGGTACCACGCATGTAGGTTGCTTCGACAAATAGCTAGCTAGATTATAGGCAGATAATGGAGGACGAAGCAATTCGGTGCTGTTCGACATGTGCCGGCGCTCGGCTGGCAGAGCAGCTGCAGTAGCTTGAATGGCGGAAGCGGTGGCGGCTGGTCGGGGTGTGGGGTGTTGATGCTGTGCTACGCCGCCGGCAAGTGCAGGGGCAACTTCCACGCCAAGCAGCTGAGCCAGCGCGGCGAGCTGCTCACCGTGGTGTGGCTGCTCGTGGCGCACTTCGGCATGGGTAACCAGTACAGAGTTGAGGCCGGCCACGCCCGCGCCAAGCTCATCACCGAGAACTAGCCTCCTATTGCCGCCGGCACATAACAGCTGAGCATTTCAGAATTCAGATCAGTTCAGACTAAGTTTTTAAAAAATCTCTTTTGTTACTGAAGTTAAAAAGCTTTAGGTTTTGACTTGACTATTGAAGATTTATAACTGTTTAACACTCTTGCGGAGATAAATCCGCGTCAATATGTAAAGATAGCTTTCTTAGTGCCTTTCATAATAGTGATCAAGCTACTTTCTGTAATACAGTTTTCAGTATGTGCAAGCTGTTTTCTGTGGTGCAATTTCCTCTGTTACTGTTAGTCCAAGTCCATATCAGCAAAATGAATAACAAAGAAGCAGATGTTAGCATCATCTCCCATTGACTTTGACTTGTCTGAAGTTTTCGTCTTCTTTAATAAATCTCATACTAATAAGTCATTGTTCATACAGAGTACTACACAAGTACCAAATTTCTTGTGACGACTGAAGACTGTCTCCCAGCTTCTTCAGGAACTGAAGTGTACGACCGGCAGAAATGTTGGACTTGTACATTGGCATTTCGAAGCTATTTGCAATGAAAGTTCATGGCAGTCCATTGTAATCAGGAGAACTGATCGTGGTGTTAGTCGCGTTGAAGTCGATGTAGAAACAGCAACCACTAACTTCTGTTTTGTTCTTTGGCATTTTGCTTCGTACATGGCATTGAATTGCTGAGATATAACTACAGAAGAGAGAGAGCTTAGTACTAATCATCAATGGCTTGCTTCCTTCTGAAACAAAAATTATTGGAGTCTGATGTAAGCCTTTCAAACAGGTTCTTTGTTTTTTGGTCTGTTTGCTGAGGGGACCAAGTTTATTGTTTGCAATCAATTAAAAGACCTCCTCCTTATAATTGTGAATCGAATTTGTTTCAAATGAAATGAGTGTTTCTCTAGTACAGAATTCTGCTGCTACACTAATTCTCCTTCTAATCCCTTTAAACATACTCATCTTTGTAGCTGATTTTGTTTCCATTTGAACGAAATGGCAAGAGATTTCAAGTTTCACCATAGAACACACTAAAAAAAAATAGGAGTATTAAGGAAGTTAACAAGAAATCTTGCCTGATACCAAAACACAACTCCATTCCATCTGTTACTCTCTCTCGGAAATAGATTTAGTTTACACTTTTGATGAACGAATTAAGTTAACAATTAACAAGCAAAACCTAATTCTCAAACTGCACACTGAATTTTGTGCCAAAGATTTAAACTCATTTACCTTTTGCAATTGCAAGAAGAGATCATCTTAATTTGTTTCTCTCTGCAATTTTTTTTTGTTTGCTTTTTGTTCAGAAGAAAGCTCTGCTTCCGTAGAACACCCTTGCACCATCCTTCTTGGGCTGCAGCTTCACCTCTGCCTCCGGCTTCTCCTCCTTCTGGACGACGACGCCATTGTCGCCGTCGAGCTCCATCGGCAGCTTCATCTTGGACAGCGATTCGGTGAACTGCTGCATGCTCTTCATGTACATCTCCATGATCTGCCGCTGCATCGCGCTCTGCTCCGCCTCCATGTCGATATCGCGCAGGGGCGGCGAGTCGAACACGTCTTCCGCGGCGCCCTTCTCCTTGTCCGACGACGACGGCTTGCCGCCGTTGGACGTCGGCGTGTCCGGCGAGCGGCACGACATCGGCGCGGTGGCGGCGTCGTCGGCGTCGGGCCGCGCCTTGCGCGTCACCGCCCTGTTGTCGTCGCTGACGGCGGTGGTCGTCGACGTCGAGGCGTTCTTGCTCCCGTCGTCCGAGGACGCCGGCTTCTCCTCGCGCGGGCTCGTGGCCATCTCGCAGTCGTCGTCGTCCATGGCCTGCGCGTCGGCGAGGTGCAAGAACGGCAGGTACTGCACGGCCATGTCGTCGTTTTCTTTCACCGCGTTAAGGTCAGGGAACTCGATCCTCGCGTAGTCCACCGGTGGCGCTGGCTCGAGGATCACCACCTCCGACGTGATCGACGGCTCGGCGGCGGCGCGCTCCGGCGGCGGGCACGCGTCGCCGGGTGGTCCGGAGTGGAGGGCGAGCGAGAGCCGTATGGTCCCCGCCGGCGAGTGGAAGAGGTCGGTGGACGACAGCGAGAAGTCCTGCGCGAGCCGCGCGCCGTCGGCGGCCGCGACGGCGGCGAGCGGCACGAGCGCGAAGCCGAGGAGCTGGTCGTCGAGCAGCCGCCTGGCGCAGCTCCGCATCCATATCTCGCACTTGAGCACGTCGGTGCCGAGGCGCGCCCGCCTGACGCGCAGCGGCGGGAGGCGCTCGTCGAAGCGCGGGTTGGCGCCGCCGCCCGCCGCGACGCGCGTGTCGAGCGCCGGCGCGTCGTCCGGGCTGGACGTGAGCGCGAGCCTGGCGTACACGTCCTGCGCCGCGTAGATGCAGATGTTGTGGATGCCGCGCGCGCCGTGCACGTAGATGTCCAAGAAGCAGGCGTCCTCCTCTTCCTCCTCCTCGCCTTCTCCCCCATGATCCAGCTCGTACACAAACCTCGCCGACTCCATCATCGATCACCACTACCTTCCAACAAAATCCAACAGTTTCAGACTCTTCACGTACAAATCCTGACAAATTCAGACAAAAACAAACTTGATATATGGAACTTTGACAGGATGTCAAGCAAGAAGAGAGGAGGAAACCATGGCTTCAAGCACTTACAGTTAGTTACAACATGAGAACATGAACAGCAGCAGTAACCTCGAGAAGACGCGAGATGGAGACATTTGTAGCTACGCACGCGAGAAGGGCATGGTTGGTTACACTTGCAAGAGGGAAAGTTAAGCTATGCGTCCGGTTTTTCCCAAACGACACCTGATTGCCTTGCTTCCACACATGGTGTATGTACATGTACTACACGCCTAATTGCCATTGTCTCTCAGCTGTCCACCGGCCGCAGACAAGCAAAATCCAACCGTAACCGTAACCGCTACTTGTCTAACTACTGTCTGCTGCTGCTAGTGTATTGCTGAATCTTGCATCAGCTGCAGACTTCCAAAAGTCAGGCTATGTCAATTGTCAAGTGAGATAATCCTCTGTATGTGTGTGTGTGATAGTGAGGACTGAGGAGGATTGCTTGGCTTTGGCTGCAGTGACACTGTGAAAAAGGATGGCCAACTACCCCCTCCCTTGCAAAGCTAGTAGTGCACAACCATCATATATTTTTCAGATATCTATCTAGCATTCTAGTAGCTCACCACAGCACCATCCACCACTACGTGTTCTTTTTTCTTCATCTTGCTTCTTGTCCACACTCTTGCATCGCAATTCCTTCCTCTCCCGGATCGATTACGATTAGATTATTTGTTGTGCGTCGGTCTCGCTGTCATGTAGTTGTTGTGGTTGCTTGTCTTGGACAAATACGTGATTGGAGCAGAGCGGAAAAGAATAGTTGTGTCCCTTTTCTGATGCGAGCTAGGTTTGACAATAACGTTTTCTCTCTGAAGGATTCGGAGCAATCGGCGCTGTGCAGTTTGGCAGCTGGATGAACCTGACGCTGCTGGATGATCTGGTCCCGTTTTGGTGGACACTGTTCTTGACTGAAGATGCATGTCTGATTTGGTCTTGCGTTTAAAAAAATTAACAATGTCTGTTTTGGTGTTGCGTTTATAGTATTAACTATTACTGGTTTGTGGTGTTAGGGTAGGTCTGGTTCTCTACCCTAATCTTTGTAGTGCCAAATTCTTGGCAGGTTTTAGTATCATCAATTCGTTGGTAGGGTGAAGTTATATTACACATGTTTGGATTTCTACCAATATAAAACTAAATTCAGAAGATATGAAAATGAAAGTTGTAGATTACTGTCAAATTGATCATAGGCATTATCTATGATTAAAATTTAATCCAAACATTTACTATTGCTATTCAAGCTACCAATAATTTAGTAGGCATATTTTAGTTCCATTTGTTCTGTTAACTGCAACGACTAGTCAGAGCACCTTTCTGAAGATGACAATCCCAATGGTAATTTCCATAGGCCGAATCATTCGGAAAATCTTGTTGCCATATATATTCACGATCTTGTAAATATCGTCACATAAGACGAAATGGTTGAAGGGAAGAGGAATATTGCTGCTGCGCGAAGTAACAAGGTGGACGCCAGCCAGCCGAGAGAAAGCAGAGCATAGCACAAAAGCAACTTTCTTTGAAATGATGACTAATTACCTCAGAATTCTCAACTCCGAATTGTGTGTGTATAAATCTTCACTGGTTTACCAACATTTTGCCTTCTAGAAGCGAAGCTCCATCAACCTGTGGTTTGCCAGTTGCCATGTCATTGTTGATTTCAGGTGTCAGAGTGTCCATAACTAGATCCACTCAAAATGCAGAAGAGTCCAGAGCCTGAAGGAACTCCTGCGACGTATGTGTGCTGCAGTACCATACAGAGCTCGTCTACGCGCCGTATATATCATGCATAATCTTGACTCTGAGAACACAAAACAATGGTTGAGTTGTAGAATACTGCTCCTTTGTCTGAACTCGGTTTCAGAGTCTGGCCGGCAGAAGAGAGAAATTGCACTTGGCAAAACAAGTGGCTCAGTTTTTCAGCAAGCAAGTGGATTGAGCCAGGTGCCGGAGAAATGGGGCCTTTTGTCAACTGAATTGGTTGGAAAACACTGACTCTAGACAGTGAAAGGCACCAATTCGAACTTAATTGATCGATGAGCACCAACCACCGACGATCGAGCGGGTCTTGCAAAACAAAAGATAATACATATCTTCAGAACATCATCGTCAGTTTCTTTTTCCTTTCAGAAAGGTAAGAGAGGTTGTCTAATATATTAATTGAGAAGAAATAATCATCAGCAATAATGTCTTGTATTTTGGTCATCTTCTCTGCCTGAAAATCTGATCTCAGAACCCTTCCTAGAATTTGCCGTTTCAGAGGCCAAAATTTTGATATATTGTATTCATACAGTACCAGGAGTTGCTCTACTGCTTACTGTATTAGACCATAACTCATGCTATTTAGGAGAATTTGGAAACTATAGCATTTGGAGTATTTACTGAGGTGAATAATTTGGTGACGTTTTAGTGCTTTTTACTCCACTCCTTTTCCAGAAAGTGATTGCAATGAAAGGCCTTTCTTTTCTTGAACGACTACCAATAGCTCCTGCTGCCATCGACCTTGTTTTTTATTAGACAGGTCAGTGGGAAAAAAAATGGTTTAAAGCGCTGATTAAACCAATTTTCCGTGAATCACAGGAGTGAAATAACGAGGATCTACACGTCACAAGCCAAAAACAACGGCTTGCAGCCAAGAAGTATTATATCATATGGTACTTGTTAGACGAATAGAGTATCAGAGGAATATATTTTTGGTGAAATTATATAGACCAGGAAGTATATTTTGTCCTTAGATCCTACCATGACTATTGCAGTGGTTGGGGTGGTTCAAATGTATGTTTTTCTTTTCTTTAGATGGAACAAACGTAGTACTAACGAGCAAAATAAATATCAATTGGATAGCCTATCAGCACGTGTTATTTATGATAATTCATAAGCATAATTAGTACCAAATATTGACAGTCGGGATAGGGAAGCAGGAAGCTGTACCTGTAGGCCCAAATGTCCAATAGATGAGTCAGCCATTTTCCATGGTGTGTGTGGTCTCCCATTTTGTGATTTTTGTGAAGTGGAGATAGTGGCAGGGATCATGATACGTCGACGCAAAGTTGCAAACACCTTTTGCTGTCCATGCAACAAAAAACAAGTGGCACTACCTCCGGACATCATGCGGCAAAGTTGGCTGGTAATCTGTAGTACGTGCCTGCCACGCTTGTCCACACCACGGCGTGTTTCTGCAAGTCCAAGAGAGGTTGACAAAGCAAACTGAAGGGTCACACAGCAAGCATATATTCACATATACCAGGTACAGAGTTTGGTTGGATTAGGTCTGGATCAACTTTTGTCCACCTCCTTAAACGGGAGCTCAGGGGATCCTTTTTATAGCTCAATAGTCCTTCCAGAAACCCAACAAATTTAGTACTCTCAAAATTTGTATTTTTCCTTTTGACAAAGGTCTCCAGCTTATATTGAAAACTTGGCCTTTGCTTTGCTTGATGCTAAAATTTTGGCAAGATTCATTTCACATTGAGTTAGTTCATCTCGTTCACGCTTCACACTGACTTATGCAATGTGCTAGAGGCCTAGGGCAAAAGGTATAGAATCCCAACCTAACTATTATCACCTAAAAGATTAAGAGTACATTATATACACTAATTTTTTCTCAACCAGTATTAGCAAATGCATAGAAGCCGTGCAGATGACCCGATATGTTAATGCCAGTGTACGCCAAAACGCAATAATATCCACATTAGCACAGAACCACGGAGGCGTCCGACTGTAACATCGCACCTCTTGCACCTATATGTCTCATCTTAACAGTTATTTTTGGAAGAAATGCTTCTTTCTCACCTGATGCATTATTTGGATGCATGCACGCGCGCTGCTTAGTGCAAAAGCTTCTTCTCCTCGGTTCAGAATATGGACACCCATTTATCAACAATAAAACATCAGTGTGAGGCATATGCCTGTCAATCTGTCATCCATTCCTGATCAACCTAACAAGCAACACAAACAAGTCATACAAAACCAAAATAGTTCTGATAAGTCCATATGAAAAAGATTGGATATCTTACGCTTGATGCAAAACCATATGAAGATATGCCATCAAAGAATGTGAAGAAAAACAACCAACGGATACAAACACATAAACAACAGAGAAGAGATGCAGTTAGAGAAAACTTTGAAATTCTGAATTAGCTCGTTGCATTCAGACATCCTTAATTAGATGTTAATTCATGGGAATTCCAATTTCACAAATTTGAGTGACAATACTAAACGAAGAGAACGAGATAACAGGGAAAATATTCACCTGGCTACAGTATGATATGATTGATACCAAGTGGTCTTGATGTATCATTGTGGTTACAGTACAGGGGAACGGGTAAAATATAAATCTTTATTAATATATTTTGTATAGATGTGACCAAAACATTAAACCTTCAAATGAACAGGGGAAACAATTCCACAAGCGTTTATTACAATTTTCGGTTTTTCCACGACACATTGCTTGATTGAAAGTAAAATACCATCAAATAGGCTGTAATATGTAATATCCAAGGAGCCATGCTTCAGAAATGCAGATTAACAAGATTATGTATCACTTCACTGGTTCAATCTTTCTTTTGGAGCCTGAGTGTGAAAGCCTGAAGGGATAAGAGAACTTGCTTGATCCGTTCTCTGATTTGCGCATCAATCAAATTACCATCACTGTCAAACTTTGGAGGCTGCTCAAATGCTTTTACGGCTAGTTCTGGCTTGTTGATGAAGTGAAGATCTAAAAATACCCCGACCTGACGAAGATGGTACTGTGATCTACCCCCTCCAAAGCCACCTCCTGCACTGACAATTGCAGCAGGTTTGTCTGCCCAGCAATTTTGCCCTCTAGAAGCCCAATCAAGTGCATTCTTCAGTGGGGCTACAATTGATACGTGAAGCATATGAGGCGCAAACACATAGATGAGCATCAGAAATACAATATAGCAGGCATGCAGTCCATCCTTTAGGGAATCACTGAATCTTTGGACAAGTTTCTGAGATTTCACTTAATCTGCAGGCTAGTTTCTACAAGTTGTCTAGTGTTGTCTAGTAACTGGAATTTCCAGGGTAGTTATCCATGCCTCTTGTTTTGCTTTAGATATCAACATATCTATTAATCATACAAGGGTGTTACACGATTTAATCATTTTTCTTAATGGTAAGAACACTGAGCATGGTATTGTAGTATATTATGTATATAATCTTATCTGTCAACCAGTAAGTGATAAAATTGTTGCGTATGATATCTTTCAAATTTAAATTGTATGTCCCAAACACAAGTTGAAGAGTGAATTGCTCAATTGGGTTACTCAGATTCAGAATTGCAAGATGGTGCACAGCATAGCATGTATTAAATTGCAGCCAAATGGTAAACTAAATAACTACTAAATGAAAAGAGGCGTGCAGTGAATTTACAGGCCAGCAAAAAAAAATTAAAACAAAGTATATGCTGAAATCAGTATGCCAATCAGAATGCAACCAGAAATGTGAGAGATGTAGGCTATAATCCAAACAAATTGGCTATTGAATTGCTAGAGTACATGAATTGGACTGTAAAGTGTAAACTAATTATACATTTTTGGGAATAGTTTGGCAGGATAGCAGCATAGGTCAAATGCTGAAGCTATGCTACTAGATGCCAGCCTTGACTGAGCTATAGGGTTGTGCGACCCCTAATAAAATACATATAGGTCTAAACAAGTATAGAAACCATGATTTCGTTGGAAGGTATATTTATTTTTACAAGGTAAAGAGCTGGATATTTGGTGGAATGAAAAGGGGCATCAGTTAGCTTGACTGGTACTCCCTCCGGTTTCATTTTAATTGACGTTTTGGACAATGACACGGTCTACAAGATACATCTTTGATCTTATTTTTCTATTATAATATATATAATAAATAAATGCATGTTTACTTTTATTATAATACTTTAAAAGACAAATCTATATATGTTGTTCTAGTTCCTTTAAACTAAATATTATTAAAGTTATTGATGGTCAGAGTTATAAAAGTTTGACCTCAACCTTGTCCAAAACGTCAATTAATATGAAACCGGAGGGAGTAGTTATTAGCACAATAATTCAGTCAAGCACAATAATTCAATTTGAGCTTAAAGAGTAAGTAAAGAATATTGAGGTATTCCTTTCTACTTTATACATAACATTTTGTAAGGAAGGAATAAAGGAAACTGACTTTCTACTTTTTCTAAATCAGTGTTGGAATTCCTTTATCACTTTCCCTACAATACACTTCAGGGCCCTGTAATGTTTCCAACAGAACTATGCGCAACTCTCAACAGGGAACCCACTCATGCATCATGACAACGAGATGGTAACCAGCTCCATTATCTGCGGATCACGAGAATGAAAAGGGACCCCCAAACAAATCGTGCACCATGACATTGATATCCAAATGGAAACGAACCTAATAGCTCAGGACAGTTATCACTTGATGAACTCTGATCTAAAATTGTAGTCTGAACGAACCGAACAGATCACTGAATTGGTACGCACTACAAGCATGCGGATTCCCCCAAATTTATCTGGTCGTATCACCCCTTTATCCATGGCAATTCGTGTGGAAAATAGGCCAGCAATCGCGAATTCGGGCGAGATATTTGGCAACAAATCACATATGGAGGCAGCAGTAGGCACGTACTTGCGATGGAGTAGTTGTACTCGGGGGATCCGAAGAGGAAGCAGTCGGCCTGGCGGACCTTGTCGCGGAAGGCCTCGACGGCGGGAGGGAATCCGCCATCGGCGGTCTCGAGGTCGGTGTTGAGCAGCGGCAGGCCGGAGATGTCGACGTGGTCGACGCGCAGGCCCGGGATGGACTCCTCGCACACCCCCGCGGCTGATCGATCAGCGCCGCCACCGGAGAAGAAGGCGTCAGGTTAACTGATTAAGCCCAAAACTCGCGGGGATGTGGGGGACCAGGGCGAGGGAGCGAAGGGAAGGGAATGGCGTGTGTGTACCGGCGCGGAGGAGGCCGCCGTTGTAGGAGGCCTTGCGGAGGGAGCCGCAGATGGCGGCGACGCGGATGACGGGCCTCGCCGCCGCGGCCTCCATGGTGGTGGTGGTGGTGGTCGTCGTCGTCTTCTCCCTCGGCGGCTCAGGCTGCTGAGTAGGTGACGCGCGCTTGCCAACTGCCAAGTGCCCCCAACTCAGCGGAGATGGAAAGCGAATAAATAGATTTGCCCAGAGTAGGAGGGAAAAGAGGAATAATTAATTCTGAGTTGGTCGCGTGTAGCGAGTGACAAATATAATTTTTAAGAGAAAAGAAAAGGTTTAAAATCGGAGCTCATGGAAAAAGAGGTCGTCGGAGTCGGACCCATCGGCGGCTAACGTTTTTCTTTATCTCTTTCTCTTTCTTTATTACTCCCTCCGTCTCTAAATGATTTTTTTTAAAACATGTTTAATCATTTATCTTATTAAAAAATTTTGTTAATATTATTCAAAAAATTTAGTAGTATTATATTTAACAATGAATCAAATGATAGTAACAGAATTAATAATTACTTAAATCTTTTAAATATGACGAATGGTCAAATATGTTTAAAAATATTAACGGCATCAAATATTTAACGACGGAGGGAGTATTATCGTACCGCTCCATCTTTTTCCACAGCGTCCGTCACCATTATTGGTTAGTGTGGACTAATCACCATTATTGGTTAGTGCAGGACTAATTTTCTCTGCTCTCCGTTTGTTATCATTTTCGTCTTCGCGTGACTATGAACAGAATTTGTCAGTTGAATGAAACAGCATCAAAACAAAATTCATTTTTAGCAAGATATGTGATGAAGTTCTACAGTAGTTCTGATTATTTGCATGTTTTGTACTGTACCTAGATGGCTTTTTTTTGGAACATGTACCTAGATGGCTAGATTGAAATTATTTCTGTATGCGCGAGCAGACAAAACCCGGCAAACTGAGATGTTGCATTGGGTTTGGACCGATTTTTTTATCATTTTAACTTTTTAGGAAATTATTTTTTAAATAAACCTTGCTAAAAACTTCAAACAGAAAAACCTTAACCTTATCAACATCAATGTTGATGCTAAGACCAAACATCTAAGCACCACGTACATTGGCATCGAAAAACTTATCGAGGTGATACAAATTCTAGGTCAGCAGGGGTCACCGCCAATCGTGAGAGAGGTCGGTACTCTTGGGCTAGAGATATCTCAGGCCCAGTCACCGAAGGAAGTTGGCCGGCCCAACAGGTAAAGGAATCGAAATGGTAACAAATCGCTCTTGGGCTTCGCCGACGAGTTCCCGGCGGCCGGCGCGGAGGATGATGCACAGAGCCAGCGTACAGTGGCCGAACTCGGGACTTGCAAGCCTGGAGAGAGACATTAATGCCCTTTTTAGTTTTCAAAACAAAACTTTTCATGCTATCACATCGAATCTTTAGACACATGCATATATTATTAAATATAGACAAAGAAAACCAATTACACAGATTGTCTAATTGCGTCATAATTTCACAATGTTATGCTACAGTAAATATTTGCTAATAACAGATTATTTAGGTTTAATAAATTCGTCTCGCAGTTTTCTAACGGAATCTGTAATTTATTTTGTTATTAGATTACGTTTAATACTTTTTCAGCTTTTTCAATGTGAAGGCCACGAGGAAGGCTAGCTCCTCAGCTTTTTCAGTCCTGCTCATCTGCTCTGATCTTCTCCACTCCTCCCCATCTGCACACTGCACACCATCTTGGCTCTTGCTATGCGGAGCACTACTCTCTCTTTCAAGCCATTTCACTGCCTTTTGACCATTGATCGAGTTTCGCTGGTGGCGCAGGCAGGAGGAGATACTAGTACTAGCATCCAATGAGGAGCGGCCACATGCATACCTGTATCTGCGACCACGCGTGGAAGCTGCCCTTCTGCTTTGCTGCTAGCTGCTGCCCCATTGAAGGAAAGTGAAGCACCAGTCTGTTGCATTCACGGCTTTAGATTCGTTTTGATTCTTTTTGGACGGGTGTGTTTGAATAGTCGACGCCTCTCAACGGGCTGCTGCCTTGTGGCCTGATGCATCACGGCTTTGGCTGTGTTTAGTTCTACTTTAAAATTAAAAATTTAAAAAAATTAGAACAATATGACATAAAAGTTGAAAATTATATATGTAGGAAAGTTCGATGTGACAGAAAAGTTGAAAGTTTAAAGAAAAAAGTTGAAATCTAAATAAACCCTTTATGCAAAGAGTATTGTATAACTCATATAAAATTAGATACATTCGGGGCTGGTTAGATCATCTAGCAAGTTTGTTTACTCTGTCATATCGAATGTTTGAACACATACGTAAAGTATTAAATATAGAAAAAACACTAATTACACAGATTGCGTGTAAATTGCAAGACAAATCTTTTAAGCCTAATTGCTGCATGATTTGACAATTGTTATTAGACTACGTTTAATACTTTAAATGTGTTTATGTATATCCGACGTAACAAACGGCAAAAAAATTTTACCCCTAGATCTAAACACAGCCATAACCATGGATCAATAAAACAACATGTTTATATGCATTTGTAGCCGTTTACAACCGTTAGTTAAATTGAGTGAGACGGTTGGATCTTATACATAGCAATTTACTTATACAAACGCGCGCGGTCAATCTGTATCCTGAAGCGCATGGCGGAACGGCTTGCCGGACCCCCGGAGGAAAGGCTTTGCGCTCGCGAGGCGATTTCTGGGGAGAAACCGCAGCGACCACCAGTTTTCGCCGTTGCAAATGATCCTACAACTACAAGGCTACAACCGCACGCCAAACTGGGAGTAACTGCATTTTTGACCACACCAAAACTGCAATCACCTCACTCATCCAGTCATCCCGCCTCTCACTTCCATGTCGGCCAAAGGTTTTCCCGGTACCACTAGTCAGCGTGTGACCGAGCAGCTTGACCAGCGCGAGTGATACAGTACCTGGCTTTGACGTGAGACGGGAGGCACGGGGCCCACAGGCCCAACCCAACGCATCCGATTGAACGTTTCTGAACGCCTCGGTCACCGCGGATGATCGATGCGCGGCCCCGGCCAAGCTGCCATGCAGCGCTGCGTCTATTTCAAGCTCACCGGCTACTGCTCGTAGAGCCAAGAACCGGAGCTATTTTAACTATTCATACCACTGTAGCAGCGGAAAGCCGGACTAGATATATAAACCTTGTGGCGATCCGATCGTGTTCGTCCATGGCCGACGAGGGGTCGTCGCGCGCCGAGCTGATCGAGGCTTCGCCGGCGCCGGCGCTGGACCTTCCGTCGCCGCCGCGGAAGCCGCGGGGCCGGCCGCTGGGGTCCAAGAACAAGCCCAAGCCGCCGGTGGTCGTGACGCGGGAGAGCGAGGCGGCGATGCGGCCCGTCGTGCTGGAGCTCGGCGCCGGCTGCGAGGTGGCCGCCGCGGTGGCCGCGTTCGCGCGGCGCCGACGCGTCGGCGTGTCCGTGCTCTGCGGCCGCGGCACCGTCGCCGCCGTCACGCTCCGGCTCCCGACCTCGCCGCCCGCCGCGGTGAAGCTGCACGGGCGGTTCGAGGTGCTGTCCCTGTCCGGGACGGTGCTGCCGTCCGCGGCCGGAGAGGGGGCCGCGCCGCCGCCGCCGTTCTCGGTGTCTCTAGCTGGGGCGGGCGGGCAGGTGATCGGCGGCACGCTCGCCGGGGAGATGACGACGGCGGACGGGTTGGTGGTGGTGGCCGCCACGTTCGGGAGCGCCGAGGTGCACCGGTTGCCCGCTGATGAGGACGACGAGGCCACCGGCAGCCGCGGCGGTGAGGAGCGGAGGCATCCACAGCAGCAGCCGCCGCAGACGGTGGCGGCCACGAGCGCCGTCGACGTGGGGCTGCTTGGGTACGGCGGCGGTGTGGGGGTTGCCGGCGGTGCGAGTGGCGGGCAGGTGGGCCGCCACCAGCAGCAGCAGCAGCAGGCCGAGATGGTCTTGTGGGCCCAGTCGCCAGGCTCAGTCGGCCCGGCCCATCCTGCCACGAGTCGTTACTAGCCACTAGCCAGCACGGTAGTTTAACGTTTCTTTCTCCCGGCATGGTGATGGCGTCATGATGCCACCCTACCATCGTACATTACGTACTGGGGTATTTCACGTCTACTACTTCTACATGGGATGGTTGTGCTTGGTATAAATTGGCTCCAAACTTCACGGCAGTTATTTTAGGATGTATTCTGTGGTTAATTATGTTGCTTTTTGAGTTTGAGAGATTGAGAGTTTACCATGCAGGAAACGACTAGCCAAGCAGAGAATGTGCTCCCTCGGTTCTTTCCAACTTCCCCACATCTGCTGTGCTGTGCATATTGTGGTAAGTAGGGGGTAGGCAAAGCCACAACTACTAGAGAGTAGAGGTATCACTCACCGAAACAGGCTTCTTTGTTATCGATGGCGAAAATAGAAGATTGATACTCCTACGTTGATGTTGTCGGGAAGGCGCGAGAAATTGTGGAGTTTCCGATGCAGTCCATGCAAGCCTAAAGTTGACCCCTCAAAAGGCAGGTTGTCTTTTCATTGCATATGCAGTGTGATTATGTAAACAGTAAACTCAACCGCTCCGTTTATTACTCCTCAGAGCATCTCCAACAGGCTCTCTAAATATCTATTTGGCTAACTCTCTATCTAATTTGACAAGTCAGACAAGTTGTTTACTCCATCAGCCTCTCCATTTATCCTCTCTATTCTGAGCGTATGACAGTGGGACCCACATGTCAGTCTCTGCAACCCTTTCTTCTTCCTCATTCTTCTCCCCCCTTTTCCCCAAGCCCCCCCCCCCCACCGGCGCCACCGCCCCATCTCCCCATCCGGCATCCGCCCATCCCTATCCGCCGCCGCCGCCGCCCCATCCCCATCTGTCGCCGTCGCTCGGGGCAAGCTTGGGTGGACGTGGGGCGGCCAACCGGGTGGACGTCGCCTTCTGCGGCGGCACGCGCGCGGGGGGTGGACACGAGGAGGAAGAGGTCGTGATGGGGTCGGCGGCAAGGGCGGTGATGGTGGCGGTGAACGCGGACCCCCGTCAGGGGCCCCAAGCTCGGGTGGGCGCGGGGCGGATCTGGCGACGGTGCCGACGACGGTGGCATCCGGCAACGACGACCTCGGAGACGACGGTAGCGGACGGCGACCTTGGCAGCTATAGCGGATCCGATGACGGTGGCGACGGTGGCTGGCGACGGAGCCGACGACGGCTGGCGACGACGGCGGCGCCCGGCAACGACGACCTCGGCAGCAGCGGTGTATGGCAATGGCGTCTCGATGACGACGGTAGCGGACAGAGAAAGGGGTGAGGGGTGCCTGTCGACATAGGGCCCACGATTGGCTAGACTATTTTGGCCGGCTAAATTTGGTCAGCGAGATGGCTTGGCCATCCAGATAGCCAGGCTGTTGGAGTGCGAAATTGAGTATTAACTTAGAGAGTGGGATAAGAATACTGTTGGAGATGCTCTTATAAGTGAGTATGACTACTTATATAAGTGAGTATGATATTTCCATTTTTAAGAACTAGTAGTTAACTATATTATTGTCTTCGCTCTTAGTGCAGAGATACAAGTCATAAAGTATCCAAGTATATCTATAACAAAGGCCGAGTTTAGTTCCAAAATTTTTCTTCAAACTTCCAACTTTTCCATCACATCAAAACTTTCCTACACATATAAATTTTCAACTTTTTCATCACATCGTTCCAATTTCAACTAAACTTCCAATTTTGGCGTGAACTAAACACATTTGGGTGTGTTTAGTTAACTTCAAACTTCCAAAAATTATATCACATCAGATATTTGGACACATGTATAGAGCATTAAATATGGACGGAAAAAAAACTAATTGCACAATTTGCATGTAAATTGTGAGACGAATCTTTTGAGCCTAATTACGCCATGATTTGACAATGTGATGCTACAGTAAACATTCGTCTCGCACTTTACAGGCGGAATCTGTAATTTGTTTTGTTATTAGTCTACGTTTAATACTTGAAATGTCTGTCCGTATACGTCAAAAAAACTTTGGAGGAGGAACTAAACACGACCAAAGATAAAAATTTCTTGTGTACCCTGAAACTTTATCCAACCCTTTCTATGTGTTTAAATTTTTCTCATTCTATTGTATACCCTCGAATTTTAGTTTGGAATTCTTTCACACTCTTCTTATTAGTTGGCCATTAAATTTCTATCATAAGGTATATTTTGCCCTTGGTATGAAGGTAAATTATGGAGGTATATTGTTGGATGGTAGAAATTTGTTATACAAGTCTATTATATCTATGAGTTTGTTATGCGATATATTGTTTACCATACAATTTATCTGTACATATGACATAAAAAATATATTAATTTTATAGTTATTAAATTTGTCGTATAAAACAAATATATTGTACTTCTATAAAAAAAATAAGCTACACATACAATTTTTAATAATTAAAAATATTATTTTTATGTCATGTCTAAAAATAAATTTTATAGTAAATAATATATCGCATTTCAAACTCATAAATATAAAAGTCTCATAAAACAAATTTCTATACTCCATAAATTTATATGTTTCATACTATACGGAAAATAGACTTTTTTTCATAAGAATCTTACGGTGAACTAATGGTCAACTAATAGAAGAAGGGATATAAAAGTGACCGAAACTAAAATTCGGGGATATACAAGTGAATGAGTAAAATTCAGTAGAATATAAGAGATTGGTCACAGTTTTAAGAGTACACAAAAAAATTTATCAATAACAAACCATGACTACTGCTCCCTCCCTCTTGAAATAAGTTCTTTTTTCACCCTTCTTAATGCAATTATTCATTTTTTTTCTATTTTGAACGTATATATTCTCTATTATCACAAAGTACTCCATATAGTAGTACAATGGTTACTAAAAACTAAATTTATTTTGGAACAAAGATTACTCTCGAATGGAGGGTGTAGTGTGCTAGCAAGTGTAGTGACCAGATCACTGGAAAGGCAGTTGAGTCTGAAGGAGCGAGAGGTCCAGGTTTACAGCGGCCGCACCACCCTCGTGCTACTCGTTCAGCTTTATTTCCTGCTGCTTGCCTGTGACTGCGTACAGGCACAGAGACTGCAGCGAAAAGGGTGAAGCAATATTGGATTGTTCCCCCGACCAGAAGGCCGCGCATGCTAAGCACTGTCGCCGCGGGCGTCGCACTGTCGCAGGCAATGTCGTACATACTTGTACGTGGTTGTGGAGGACGAAGCGGGGGTAATCGATCGATCTCGCCGGCTGGATTGCTTTGCTGCCCAAAGCGATCTCTGCAACTGCAATGCGCTGCGTGTCTGTCCTACATGGCTACATGCACCGATGCTGTGGCTACATTTCCCTTCCTTTTTGCGAGGTTATATGATCAGAGTCGTGACTCGTGAGTAGGGCCGGGACGATGTCATCCGTGGGCCGACATATCTAATGGGTTGGGCTGAGTGGTCGACAAGGCCGAAAGATCGGTGAGAAGCTGACACGATAGAAAGGCTTTCCACATGTTTCAGCCCATAAGATTGCTCGTATCACAAGGATAAGTAGCTTTTTGATGATTATACGAAAGATAAAGTACACCGAAAATCCCTCAACTTGTCATCTTGTCTTCGAGTTATAAAATCATCCTTAAACCATAAAAACGAATATAACGCATGTAAAATAGAATACAACGTATCCCTAAACTTAGAAAACCAATGCAAACTATGTCCCTCAACAGTTTTGATTTCTGTTATGTATGACGTGGCAGATGACTTAGTGTAGAACCCACGTGAGCCCCAGACGCGAGCCTTTTCTTCCCCTTCCTTCACCACCTCTCTTTCTCTATCTCCTCTCCACGAGCGGCGGGGAGCAGCTGGGCACGGGCGGCGGGAGGAGCGGCGCGCGGGCGGCGAGCTGTGCGGGAGTAGCTCACGCGCTCCTCCCGCGACGTCGTCGTCATCGACTACTCCATCGCGGCCGTCTCCCCGGGTGGCATGTTCATCCAGGTCGAGTACGATGACGACTCAACCGGCGCCGTGGACATGCGTCGCCTCGCCGGTGACAACGACGTACGAGCACCACGTGCACGCGGAGGCCTTCAAGCGGCTTATAAGATTGCTCATATCACAAGGATAAGTAGCTTTTTGATGATTATACGAAACACAAGAAGGAAAAAAACGACAAGTACAAAGGTCAGGTTAGCGTGGGCCTTGGATTATGACGCTCAATTATTCCGTGGCCACTAAGCTAAGCAACTCTGTCAGGTTGAAAAGAGCAGAGGCCAACAACAAAAAGCAAGGAAACGGTAGTGTACGTGTGTGGTGGCGCATGTCTTCCAACTGCAGCCGTGAACAATTCCAAAGTTCCAAACAAATTCAAAGTTCGCAACGACCAGTGGAATGGCTTGGGCCATACTTTTCCCGGTAAGCGTAGCATGTGGTTCCATGATTCTGTCCACTGGGGAAAAAGATAATTCCTTCGCCTCCATCGATTTGCCTACATAAGCACGAAGGCTCTGATTAAGCTACCAATCACGCACTAAACCGATCCCAAGAAAATGGAAGGCTCGACGTCACCGAAGGCGTTGAGAGTTGCGGCGATCTCCGGCTCGCTGCGGAGGGGCTCCGCCAACACCGGCCTCATCCGCGCCGGTACGTACGTACATCGATCGTCTCTCCTGCAGCTCAGGCTGATCGATCCGTTTCGTTTTTTCGTTTCGTCTCATGTGTGGCTGCTCTGATTCTGACTGAACTGCAGCCAAGGAGATATGCGAGGAGTCCATCCCGGGGATGGTTATTGACCACGTCGACATCCCCGACCTGCCGCTGCTCAACACCGACATGGAGGTTGACGACGGCTTCCCGCCGGCCGTCGAGGCGTTCCGGGCCAGTGTCCGCGCTGCCGACTGCTTCCTCTTCGCCTCTCCCGAGTACAACTACTCCATCTCAGGTACGTGCTCTGGTGCTCATGACCTCATGTCAACTCTCCTGTGACGGAAGAGGATCCTCTGATGTACTTCCCCCTGACGTAGCCACTAACAGGTGGGGCCGTGAGCTGTGAGGCCCACATGTCAGTCACCACTCTCTTTTGACTTCATGTCAGAGGATCCCAATCCTCCGGTGACATATGCCATTCAGGCACAAAGCAATTGGCTTGCCAGGTCGTTGATTGATTATGAAGTTCTTTACTGCTCGTGGAGAATGAGTGAATAGAGAACCAAAATTGAAAAACAAAGTAAATTTAGGTTCTTTTTTGTTTGGGCAATTTAGTTTTGTGATGGCTATGGGTCCAGTAAGGAGGCATGGGCCCACTAGTCAGCGAGAGAAATGTTACTTTTTTTCCAATTAGACCCGTCATGTTTTTATTCTGTCAGAAAAAAAAATGCGTGAGATATTTTTCAGGTGAGCCCTCTGTGTCTACAACTGTTTGATGTACGCATATCCTGTGCAGGTCCTCTGAAGAACGCGTTGGACTGGGGATCAAGGCCGCCCAACTGCTGGGCTGACAGAGCCGCCGCCATCGTGAGCGCGTCCGGAGGCTCCGGTGGCAGCCGATCAATGTACCACATCAGGCAAGTCGGGGTTTTCTTGGACATCCATTTCATCAACAAGCCTGAAGTGTTCATCAAAGCACATCAGCCTCCGAAAAAATTCGACAGCGATGGCAATTTGATTGATCCGGAGATTAAAGAAGAGCTCAAGGATATGCTCCTGTCACTGCAAGCTTTCGCCCTGAGGCTCCAGGGCAAACCTGCAAACTCTAAACATGCAGCTTAAGCGGGTTTTCAGAAAAAAAAACTGGATGAATAGAACTCATTGGATTCTAGGACAACTTATCTTAACGCCGAACAATTGTGTAGCCGTGATTTGAACGGTAGCTTAAATAAATCTTTTGGTTGTGTAACTTGTTCATCTTGATGGAATTACCAAACCACACTTTCCTTTTCTGTTCACAGAATGCATTCGATACCATGCTTTCTACTACTGCATATTTTTAGTTCAGATAGAAGCCTTGCAATTGTTGATTTCACTTGTCATGACTTTGTGCTATCTCTTCGCGGTTTCTGTCATAAGAGCAAGACTAGCTAGCTCTGAGACTCTGAAAGGATTGTTCAGATTAACTATATTCGAAACACAGCTACAAATTAACATACAGTACACGTATTTCGGATATCTGTACCAGCTGACTGCTGTGCATGCTCTGTTCTGTTCTGAGTTCTGATGATCATATATAAACTGGGTTTCACAAGGGACCACAGGTTAGATCTGGAACGATTTTCACATTGAGCTAAACGCCTAAATATATATCGGCGATGAGCTCCGGCCGGCAGCCTTGCGGTCCAGCAGCATGGGTACCAACATGCATGATGTTTCAACAATTCGGTTACCAAGAGGAGGAGGAGGACCTAGCTTGTGGTCCTTGGTCATGTCGATCCGTTCATGTGTAGTTCTTCGTTATCTCATGTTGTCCACTGATTGAATCTATCTAGTACGTACTGTTGTAGTACAGAATGTGATTCTGCCCAATCTTGTTTATTGGACCCTGCCATTCTGTACGAACTTCAACTTGTGTGCTGATTTTTTTTTTTTTACTGCATACTTCATTTCATCCCCAGAACACCAGTATGGCAGTATAGTAGCACTACAATGACGAGTTGACGACTACTCATAGTGGTATAGCACATAATGTGATTATATCCGACAAAAATATAATGCTGAATTTTACCTCATCCCTCCACGCCGGACAGTCATTCATTGTCTCCTTATGGATCTACCCCAATCAAGCACGAGTTCATTGGTACTGAATTAATTCTCATCAGTCATCAGTGCATCATTGTTCATGCCTGTCGACTAGAATCGTCTCAATTTGGCTTTCTCCATGCATGGCCTGTGCTATTGCTACACTATATGCACACCAACTTTCACTAATTCTTCTTCATGGTGCTATTTGTTTTCATTCAACACATTTGGGTCGGATTGATCACGGATGGTCCTCGAACACTGACGAGTCATAATCGAGATACCCCGCTGTATAAGAAGTTCAATCTTGATTATATTCTTGTGTCCTCATGGCGCACAAAAGCCTTACACGTCTACATATGTGAAATTCTTTTTACATAATGGATATTAAACCCGGACTTTGCTATAATTGAAGCTACAACCATTTATTACAAAATTAATGGCACGAAACCTAAACATAGATATACCAGCATACATATTATGGCCGTTAATCATGATGTCAACTTCTGACAAACACATCAATTTTTTTTTCTGGAAGAACTTTGTGATCGATCATTTTCACGAACACGCGACGATTAGGAACGGGATGAAAGCTAGCATATATAAAGTTTTTCTGGCCTTACATATAGCGTTTTAACGTTTACAGGGACATATATAAGTCGGTTGAGATGGGCAAAAAACAGGATACATGAGGACCAATATGGAGAGGACAAAAACAAAGCAAAGGCCTAGCTATAGCTAGTTACCCAGGCCGAACTACACCTGCATGCCGGCATGCAACACACACAGTACATGCATGGCTAACGACAAATCCACCGTCGTCGCACTACTTCTTCTTCCCTGTCTCCTCCGACGACGCCACGGGCCGGCCGCCGCCTGTAGTGGCGGACGACGGCGGCAGCTTCTTGCCATTGTTCCCAGCTTCCTGGGATTTGGCATCATCGGTAGTATTGCGGCGCCGGCCGGGCTGACCACCGCCGCCGTCGACGTGCGCCGCCGTGCCCTTGGCCGCCGCCGCTGGCTCGTCGTCCATGTCGACGTTGAAGTCGAGGGGGAGCGAGCGGGATGGCTGTCGCCGATGACGAGACATTGCCTCTCGCCTACCTAGCGCTGCCACTAACTTGGTTGCAAGCTAGACCGTCCAAGGCCAGATATGTGGAGTACCTGCAGGTAGTCGTGAGTGAAGAACTGAAGAAGGGGGGGTCTCGGCCTTTATAGACGGAAGAAGCTGGGGCGCAGTGCTCAAGGAGGTTGGAGCCTTGGAGGTGTACTTCTACAACAAAACCATGTGTGGTTTTGATGAATAAAACACGTCACTGTGCTGCTTGGGACCGTACCTGCGATGTGCCACGTATAATCAACGGTCCAGATTGTTACTTTAATTTGTATCTATGTATGGGTGTATCTTTGTCTGTATATATATTTATTTGTATCTATCAATGCAGCATGTGCCTATATTTGTCTGTCTATTATATATATCTCTATATGTATCATTTTTGTCTATCTATCTATCTATCTATCTATATCTATCTATATATTTATATCTGTAGCGATATCTTAATATCTACTATATATTTATCTCTATGTATCTATATCTGTATATGTATCATGCTATCAATAACTCTTTGATTTCAAATATAAGTCAAATTGAGAAATATCTCATACTATCATTCATTTATTATTACTATATATTGGAAAGAGATAATCTATTTATAAGGACTAGCATTTATTAGTGAAGGCGAATATAAAACATATAATTTAAATCCGAATTACTTCAAACCTACTCACAATTGGGAAAGGTTTTTTAAAAACTAAACGACATTCGGAGGGCACATTTCAAAAAAGATCAATCAAAGAGAAGTGTCTAGTTTTGATCATTCATTAAGAGCTCCTTTGAAATACAGGGTTGTCAAAACATATGAATACGAAAAAGCAAGAATATAATTGCCATGCTCATGGAACTCCCATGAAATTTTGAAAAATAAGGAAGTTTTAAAACCACCGTTTGATCGTCAAATATGAAAAACGCAGAAACTCAGACATAAAAGACGTAAGAATATCAACATGAGGTGTGATCTTATACTTATTTTCCTTCAAAATTCGTATAGAATAGCCCATTTAGTAGGTATTACCAAAGAGACTGAAGTGTTTCAAAGGGTTCCGCTTGATTGTTTCCCGAAGGATGTAAATCCTCTAGAATTTTATGTCTCTCTCTCTCTTCTTTTTTCAAATGGGGCCTAAAGTATGACCGAGTTATAATAATCCGTCATAACACAAATCCATGAGAAAACCCATTGGTCAAGAAAGTCAGCACCACAAATGGAAATGGTATACTAGAGCAGCATCAATCTGAAAAAAGAGAGAAGGTGAATCGAGTAGTGATGTGCAGTGTAGGACAGTTTGTTGTTTGTCCTAAACAGTGAACATCTTGCATTGTTCGCTTATGGGGTAGGGCCATCAGGTTATTAGCCGTACCGGCCCATATGTAATGATGCTCGTACACAAACATCAGGCTCAATCATTCACGCACATGCAGCGTGATGTTCTGAAAGCTATTGCAGCGTATATGGACAATGCCCAACTGAATTTCAAAATCCCGGAGGTAATTCCATCGTAGTAGTAGGACTACGGAGTACCACTTCCCACACGCACGAGCTGAGCAGCTTTGCAGCAGAACTGGTGCATCAATAATATACACAATTAATTGACTGAAAATCTCAGCAACACCGATTCAAACAACCCCTAAGTTAGTGAGACCACTGTCACCTGTGGCAGACGTAGCTTGGATGCACGCATGCAATTATTGGGGGCACCATCGAAGGGAGAAATAAGCTCGAGTTGAACGTTTTTGCCTTCCATTTCTTTACTAATTTCCCTAGATTCTCGTTCAGCAAGAAATGTACAAACAGAGTTGTGTTGATTCTCTTTCATGGCAACGCGAGACAAAAGCAGTCAGTCAGTCAGGCAGAGGCCGGTTTAATTAGTCTTATAAGATTGGTGAACATGGTGGATGCCCCAGCGCGAGACGCCAAAGAAGCAATAGCAACGTAAGCGTCCACTGCCTAGACAAGACGCATAGCGACGATCATGACAAGCATGTGCACGGTCTTGTGCTACTCCTTGCATCGTGTCATCGACCGTCGATCCGTCTCTGCCGCATCCCGCTGCACAAGTGTTTGCAAGGGAGGCTTCGATCTGATGTGCGCACGCGAGGGAGGGATATGCGACGCAATAATTTGGTGCGACATGCGGCGTGGAGGCTTCAGCGGATGCAGGGGCATTTTCCCCTCGGGCCTCGGGCGCCGGGCGGAACGGCAGCGCACGCAGCGGCAGGACGCACGCAGCGCAGCGAGCGCCGTGTCCAGTGTTTCGCGTGTAGTAGTAGACGGCCCCCCGTGCGTGCTGGGCTGGCTGGCGTTCGTGGGCGTGTGGGGGAAAGGGGGGCGGCTTCTGGTACGTTACGTACTTGGCGCACGAGCTGCTCTGCCTCTGCTGCCGCGCAGCGATAGATGGTCGCATGCATGGCGGGGTGCTGTGATTTTGTGAAGCTGCCGCATTGGGACGGCAGATGCACGTTGCCTTCCCAAACCAACCCATGGTGTACTGGTGTATGATTGATGCACGCGCGTGGCCCAACTACACGTACGTACGGTCGGGTCGGGTCGGGTCGGCCAATCAAGTGTATCGGACAATACGTACGCCGTCTTAAGGGCATGTTTAGTTCGCGAAACGAAAATTTTTGGGTATCACATCGGACGTTTGACCGAATATCGGAATGGGTTTTCAGACACAAATGAAAAAACTAATTTCATAACTCGCCTGGAAACCGCGAGAAATCTTTTGAGCCTAATTAATCCGCCATTAGCAAATGTAGATTACTGTAACACTTATGGCTAATCATAGACTAATTAGGCTCAAAAGATTCGTCTCGCGATTTCCTCCCTAACTATGCAATTAGTTTTTCTTTTAATCTTATATTTAATGCTCCATGCATGTGTCCAAAAATTCGATGTGATGTTTTTTAAAAAAAACTTTTTGGGAACTAAACGGGGTCTAAGTTGAGCCATGTTCTGTGTTTCTCTCTCTGTGTTCTTTCCCCTGTTTTCCTTTGACTCCAAGGAGTATAATCGAGAATGATACTCGTCGGGCGTCCGGCGCGGGGGAGCCGGATCAGGCGCTCCCCCTGCGTGCCCCTCCTCCCACGTGCATATCTACTAGGCCCACTCACTTCTTCCTCTTCTTTTTTCAAAAAAAATATTTCACCCAGTGTACTTACAATGTTTCACTATTTATATATCTAATGTTGCAGTGAATTAAAATACTCTTTTGCAACAAAAAAACCCACATATTTTGGAAACTCTCTATTAAGGGAATTTGGTTTATTATTTGTTCCATAAAAAATGTTTCACCTAGTGTACTCACAATGTTTCACTATGTATAGATTTAATGTTGCAGTGAACGAAACATTCCATTGCAACAAAAAAACCCACATTTTTTGGAAACCCCTATTAAGGGAATTTGGTTTATTTTTTGTTCCATCGAAAAATGTTTCACCTAGTGTACTAACAATGTTTCACTGTGTACAAATCTAATGTTGCAGTGAACTGAAACATTATTTCGCTATTTGCTGAAACCTTGTTTTTATATAAGGTGAAACAACACCCAATTTAAACGAGTGAAACATTTTCGCTCTACTTAGTGAAACAATTCCGATATACCTGGTGGAACATCGTGTAATATTTAAAAATAATTCAATAATAAGCTAAAATTTCTTTTCGTCGGAATATATCCATGTGTGGTCTTGTTTTGAAGATTTAATTGCAATGAATTTAATGGTGTAATCGGATCATGATTTAGATAAGTAATTTAAGAAAAAATTCGGTTTAAAATAGTTTTGCACATAAATCGGACGCTGACGTCAGCGCCCGATTTTCCCTCACCCACGATCGGACGCCCGATTTGTAGGGTGATCCGAGTATAATTGGAACGGTAGTCAATCGTTTTGAAGGGGATATGGTCTTAAACCGAGTCGGTTTGATTCGGAGCAGACGAGAGAAGTCGCAAATTTGAACAAACTTTTCACTCCGCACAATACACGACGTCGCTTCCGATCATGATGAAAATTCCACAATCTTTAATCTACTGTCGTCAGCCGACATGTCATCGGCTGGTAGACCAACACCCAATTGACTACACTATGGTCAAAAGCCTCAAAAGGAGGTCCAATTCAACACGATGGGCCAGGCCGCCTATACATACACATGGGCTTTCACTTCGACGGGCCGTCGTCCAGCAAAGAGATAATGGGCCGACGAGTAGGTCGGTGGGCGCCGCCGATGACGACGCGTCACGACCGAATAACCGGGCGGCATCTCTCGCGCAGATCCCCACGCTTTTTCTCCGGCCGCGAACCCCTCGCCTCCTTCGCGAAGGGCCCCCCTTCCTCCTCTCCTCTCACCACACACCACCCGAAAAACACCGGAGGAATATTCCCCACCTCGCCTCTCTCCAGCCACCGACATGGCCGCCGCCGCCGCCGCCGCCGCTTCCGCCTCCTCCTCGTCGTCGTCCTCCTCCTCGGCCGAATCCGTCCCCCTCCCCACCACGACTCTCCCCATCGACAAGGTGGGCGCAAGCTGGATCTCGATCTGTTTGTTGTTGGTGAAAGGGGGGGGGGGGGGGTTAATCTTTGGTTGGTTCTTGTTGTTGTGTTGGTGTGTTGGTGTTAGGCGGCGGCTGTAGGCGGCGGTGGCGACCGGGCGGTGGATTGCGGGGTGTGCGCGATTTGCCTGGATAAGATCGCCCTGCAGGAGACGGCCCTCGTCAAGGGATGCGACCACGCCTACTGGTTCGTTCTCTACAATTTTCCCCTGCGATATGAATTGCTGCTAGGCTTCAGCACTGGATCCTCCGATTTCTTTGGTGGATTGTTGTTGCGATTTTTGCCTCTATAGAATATTATTGGATAGAACTGGTTAATAATTTGGATGAGACCCTTTTAGATTTGATGGTGTTTGCGATGCCTCAATTAGCCTGTATTTCTCATTCAACTGTATAATTTATACTAGCATATTAGCTGTAGCATATGCGAGCTACCCATGACACTGATATTAACATGACGCCTTAAAGCTTTGTTGGATTGATTCCAAATCAAATGCCAGACTTCCGTTGTTGGGAATGTAATTTAACATGTTATCTACCATACTAGCCATGTGCGGTCGGTTGGCTTCTCCTTGTCAAACTACTAGCTACATATTGAATGGTGGTTCCTAACAAATCCTATGTGCCTGGTCTGATGACTTGGTCTTGTATTACGCCCTAGATGAGTGTTTGACCTCATATGTGAATTGATAACTTGCTTATGTGTATGTGAGTCACAGCTAATGCTGAAGAACCTAACTTCTGTTAGCATTCTTTCTCACGGATCATTTTCTGTTCTCAGTTGTCAACTATTGTAATGTATTTTAAACTGATATTGGGCATATTTATCTATCATCTGCTGAAAATTGTTTTGCAATAGACCTGTTGCTAATTCTCTTCCAACTACACTTTGTGGAAACAGTGTGACGTGCATTCTGAGGTGGGCGTCCTACAAACAGACGCCTCAATGCCCACAGTGCAAACATCCGTTTGATTTCCTCAGCGTGCACCGCTCTCTCGATGGCTGGTAACCCCTTGTTTCTCCATTATGGGGGAGGGCATACTTGTTTCAGGTAGACTGTAAACTTGATGCTAGTTTCTTTTCTCCAGTATTCATGACTACATGTTCGAGGAAAGCGTTTGCCTTCTCCTGAGGGCCACTTGGTTTGAACCTCTGATCGTAGAGGCTCACGAAGAGGCTCTGGATGAAGAAGAGTTATACCACATCTATCAATATGATGATGGCGTTGAAGATGACCTTGACGAGGAAGCTTATTACATGAGCAGGTCTCCGAGCATTCGAATTGGCAACAGGAGGTGGGGTGACAATGGATATGTCAGAGGAGGCAGGAAAGAGGCAAGGCCAGTGAGTCGCCAGTCCTTGAATGACACTGATGCTGGTCCATCCAGGACTCCCAAGAAGAAAGATGTATCAGCATCGGGATCAGGTTCTGTGTCTAAGGAAGTTGCAGGAAGACGAGCAAAACGAGCTCTGAAGCGTGAAGCTGCTGATAAGGCAGCTGCAGAAAAGCACTTGAAGCACCTCCAGAGGTTGGGCCTCAGGAAGGCACCCGAAGCAACAGCTGAAGCAACTCCAGAGGTTGAACCTCAGCTGAACGAGTGATTTTCACCAACTTCTGTAGATAATGGTGCTGTGAAGAAAACTGCAGCCCTTGGGTCACCCGAATAATCTTCCATTGTGAAGGACTGGAGCGTGGCCTTGTATCGTTGGCAAACTTGCCGATTTGTACAGTACTTTAGTTTCACAAATTACTCGTAGCATTGAACTGCACATCAGTCTGCACCAGATGCGGCGATGCAATGCGGTTTACCTCAATCTGATAATACTTTCAGTTACCGGGATTCCTCTGCATGATGCAGAGGACCCTGAACTAGGAGAATGTCAGTTGCTAGCTCTGCTAGTATTCTGTGCTGCAATGTATCAGTTTAGATAGAATGTTGCATGTGACTATCCTCCGATAAATGAAATGAGGAAACTGGTCTTCTTGCATGTATTGTGTGACTATCAGTTCAATGAATCTTCTAACCAGCGTTATCTATCCATCAGATATTCAGATGGTTGAAAATGAAAGTTGTTGGCGAGCGGTATACGCAGTTGCAGTTGATGGCGTGATGCAACACAGAAAAAGTGTGCACAACTTATTTGGCCGCACGCGTTGATCGCCAATCCGCAGCGAACAGTCGCAGAGCGCCGGTGAACCACCGCCGCCGGTTCACTTTGACCCTTTGAGAGCAGGTACAACAGCAGACTGTATGTATGATAGGTGGGGCTATATATTAATAGTATAGTAAGGAACTATTGTATGAATTGACTATTAGATTAGTTATAGATAAATTGGAGCTAGTAGTGGGCTATACTATTAAATTTGCTCTGATACGCGTCTGCAAACTGTATAGGTGTGGAGTTTAGCGCAGCCCACGGGCCTGTTGAGGCCTTGACGGGCTTCACTCAGTAGCAGCTATCGGCCCAGCCCAGAGAATGCACTGCTTGTGGATGGACTTGGGCCCAGTTTGGTAGAGCCCTTGGGTCACCCGAATAATCTTTCTATAAAGGTCTAATTTCGCCAAAAAAAACTAAAATACTAATCAGCATTGTTTAGGTAATTTATTCAAACAATATTTGTTAATTTTATAATATTTAATTCATTCCATCCACAGCACTGCATCGTCGTACAGTAACACACCTTTAGCTATGCTCACCATTTTACATTACTGAAAAATGATTCAGGCATAAGCATCCGTCTCCCTGCTAATCTTAAAACATTAGTGACCATTTTCTGATTAATGTTTTCCCAGCGAAAAAAATCATTTTATTCCGGCGACTCCATATCTTTGAGTATGTGTCGGCGCATATTGGAAGGTGCACACGTTTCATATTCGTGCATGGTGTTGTGCTCGCTTGCGTCCACAAAAAAGACTTAATTTCTCTCATTTCACCTTTTTTTTTACGGAGTAGTTCAGGAAGTTTATTTTTACCACAAGCAGTAACGGATGTGCGAAACATACTGCTACCTACTCACTCCGTACCAATAAAAATGAATATAGGGCTTGTGTGGTTTGTAGCCAATTTTTACCTTACCATAATATTGGTAGTATCAAAACATTGGCAGCTTTTAGCACTAGCAAATTGGTTAGTGTTCAATCTAAGCTGTTATGGGTAAAATTTGATAGCAAACTAAACATACACTTGCTACCAAACCAAACAAACCTCTAGGACTGGATGTAACATATTCTATTACAACGAATCTGGACAGAGGTATGTCCAGATTCGTAGTACTAGGTTGTGTCACATTTAATACTATATTAGTTTTTCATGGGAAGAAGGGATTACCTACCAAGGCATCAAATGTCAAATTCCATCTGCTACTGTCATTGTTTCAATTCGAAATGACGAAATTGTGAGCCGTAGTAAACTATTCCAAATTTCCAATCGATCGACAGCCGAAGCTGTATATGACGCCGGGCACAGTCCCGGGATGAGGTGTTGGGTGCTTGACGCAAACGCAACAAGCCAACAAGCCGGGCCAGCCAGAGCCAGCCAGCCCCCTACCTCGGAGAGCACAATCCAATCCAGGCGAGGGGGGCGCGTCTCCGTGTCTCCAGGCCACCGCGCCGCGCGCTTGCTTACTTGTGCTCTATTTAATTCTCGCTAAAGATTTTACGCCCTATCATATCAAACGTTTACACCTATATAAAGTACTAAATATAGACTTAAAAAATAATTTATTATACAGAATGCAACTAATTTGCGAGACAAATATTTTATAAGCCTAATTGTTCCATGATTTGACAATATGGTGCTAAGTAAACATTTGCTAATGATGGATTAATTAGGCTTAATAAATTCGTCTCGCTGTTTACCGACGGATTCTGTAATTTGTAATTAGTTTTTTTAATAGTGCATAAACACCTCATATACGACACACTCTATATAATACCCTACGTGAACACGTTAAAACTTTAATCGTCATGGTCTTGGCCATGTCAACTCCATCAATTCAATGCCATCGTGCGACGCCACGGTCCCAAATTAATCCACCTCGATCTACTATCGTCGTGCATGCCAGCCAGCCACAGCCCACGGCCGCGAATTCTCCACCACTGTTCCGGATTTTTCGTAGGATCGGCACACACGTACGCACCCTATCGATCCTGTGCATTGATAGCAGTTTGCACACACAGACATCACACAGTGGTGGGGGTACTGCGACGAACATGGGGGTGGCATGCAAAAGGCGAGAGACGAGACCCATGTCCTGTGCCTCGAGCAATCACGCAACTTTGCCGTGCAAAAGCCTTTGTCCCCTACGGACTACTGAGCTTCCATGGCACATGCTATAGGCTCGTCCTAGCTTGCATCGTTGCATGACATCGGACGGGTTGATTCTAGTACCAAACTACCAATGACGATCTAGGCACTTCAAGACTGTTTCGCGAAGATTAGGCAGAAATATGAAACTAAATAAGAGATTGTCACGATTGATTTGAAATAGAAAATATGTACACAAATTAAATTACAGATGAATATGATGGGCTATGATAATAGTGTACTCCCTCCGTTAAAAAAAAAACAACCTAGATATGAACATTCCTATTACAACAAATCTAGACAACCATCTATCCAGAATAATCGTACTAGAATGAATCATATATCCTCCTGCATGCCATTTTTTTAAGATAGAGAGAGTAGGTAATAAAATAGCGATATTTTGAGATAGAATTAGAAGTAACTATTTTGAAACGGAGGAACTACACTCATACTCCCTTCGTCCCATCCTAGGACTAGAATATGGACATGCACTTTCAAGCGCAGCGTTTACCTGACAAGCCTTTTATTCGTTTGTTTTTTACACATTGATAGGGCTCCTACAGAATGCAAAATTTCAAAAAAGGGAAGATAAATAATGAATACTTCATGAAATGAGTCCACGTGATTTTGCAACAAAATATTATTTGCTAGCACCATAGAAAATGTATAAGAATTGTGAGTCACTACCTCATCCTTAGCAAGCAAATGTTAGGGCTCTTCTGGTTGGTGCAAGTGAAAAAGGAAGCTACATAATAATAGTAGTAGGTTAATTTCTAGGCCTATTTCTTATTCCGTTGACAGAAGCTAGCTGGGAGCTTTATGTCAAATTTGTACTTGACTGATAATGAAGAATCTTTTGCATAGCGCAATTTGTTGTTGACTTGTTTTGATTAGATTTTCTGGAGTTGATTTATTTTTTCTTGAGTTCTCTCTAGGTATGCATATGATTTCATTGGTATTGTGGCAATAGGTTTGGTACCCATAGGTATATTAGACTTGGTAACCCGGTGTTAGCTTAGGTACTAATTTGTTGATACATATTGGTACGAGACCTTGTACTAATCAATAGATATCAGACTTAGTATCCAGTACCAAATCAAGTATTAGACTTGATACATCGGTACCAGTTGTCGCCGCATAAAGTATCCTAGTGCTCGATCTAGATCAGACTTACTTGTATCATATACGATACCTGGGTTTCAGGTTTCGTGTAGACCTCATGATGTCGTCATCATATATAAGTATCACAATGATCTAACGGACCCCGTCCTCTAGTCCACCTCAATTCGAATGATTATATAGCAGTCATTCATTTGTTCCAAATGACCATGTAGAAATACATTTCCAATGGATTCTAATCCTTCATAATTCCTTTGTTCCAACGTGTCGACTATCTACTGCAAAACACATGACAAATACTTGTACGGTATAGAAAACGCACATTTTTTGTTCACTCGTCATATGAACTTTACAATGCAGTCACACTTTCAATTTCCTTGGATGCAGATATATTCTCAACTGTAATATGATTTCCTGTTTTGTAGGCATGTTCACATTGAAAAAAAAATAGTAAATTTCAAGTTAGAACATTGCTTGTCCATTTATAAGTCCTGACCATTAATTTATTATAAAAACAGTATTTCTAATACTCTTATAAAATCAATATTGTGATTATAAATATAGTTGTACAAGTTTATACACTAAAGAAATTTCTAAGTTAACTAATTATTCATCAGATATTATATGTTTTAACATTTTAAAATCAAAATACTCCTTATGAAAGTAAGAGGGTAGTATTCATCACTTGTTAGAAGTGAAAAAAAAGTTGAAATGAAATTGACGCAAAATAAACTTTCGAAAGTAATCTTGAACTGCTGACGGTAAAAATAACAAAAAATGGGAGAAGTGCCCAATTACTACTCAACCAATGCATCCAAGTTATCAGTACCATGATCAGATGCATTCCAACTGTATTTACGATTAGTACCCAGCTTTTCAAATACGCCCTCAAAATTTTAGGTTTAGCAAGACACTGAAAATTCTTAAAACCATAACCAATCCTAAGCCAATAATGACGATTCTAAGGTCGACAACGATGACAGCTAGTACACAGAGCCAAGAGCGGTTGCGATCCACGGAGCAGCATACCACACTTGATCCATAACTATGCATTGCGCCAACCTTTATGGCTACACTAGAAGAGAACATCAACAATCTCAAATCTTCCTTTTCGTAGAAGATCATAACATTAACAATCTCGATGTTCCATTTCAAACAAGATAATGTTCAAGTTAAGTTACATTGCGTTCATATTCAATACAATTTGATGTTAAGTTATGATTAGTCCCAGTTTAATTTTTCGAACAAAAACCAATCACTCCTCAAAATGGTAAGTACCAAAATAAACAACACAAATGCGCAGATATTGGGGGATATGTTAAAACAAACATAGAAATAGAAAAATACAGCACTTTAACAGAAAATGCAAGTATGTAATACATGATGGCCAAAGACACGAATAATCGTTTGAATACAAGGCAGGAAAAAAGGAAGAAATTAGAGGAGATAAAAAAGCAAAAAAAAAAGTTTCCATGAGATTCGGTATGCTGCCTTTCTCCAAAATGGTGTTGTCTTGTGCCACTCCATAATGATTTCATATTATTGTTGGAGTTCCAATCTCTTTTTTTCAGATGACCAAATAGGAAATTTTGTATAGAACTTGAATCCAACTTCCCTTATTTTTTTTCTACAAATCAAGTTCCAAAATGGAAGAAGGGAACCTTGCCATGATTCAAACTTTTTTCTTCAAACTTCCAACTTTTTTGTTTGGACACATGAATGAAGCATTAATTATAGATGAAAAAAACAATTGCACAGTTTGCATGTAAATCACAAGAAGAATCTTATAACAATGTAATGCTACAGTAACATTTGCTAATGATGGACGTCTCACAGTTTACAGGCGGAATCTATAATTTGTTTTGTTATTAATCTACATTTGATACTTCAAATGTGTGTTCATATATGTAAAAAATAATTAGCACAAAACTAAACACGGCCATAACACTTTTTTTTTGGTTCGCCAATTTATACCGTCACTTCGAACTCAGAAATCAGAACCCGATTGCAGGTTGCAGCACCAGGAGCAAAGTGACTGCAACACAGCATAAGAAGTCGCAAGAAAATAAAAGTGACGGTAAAATCAACAAGACAAGCAGCCCCGGCCACAAGCAAAGGTACTATTGTCATCCCAGCGTTTCCGAAAAATCCTTGGATGCAAACACAAAATCAGCTCGTGCGTACGATCACATCAGACAGTATCTCCGACATGCACTCATGCACGCACAGCTCTACCAGTAGTTGTACTAACTTTACATTTAAGAGCAAGAAAAATGGCGGCTCGTCATGATGCCAGCAAGGAAATGTAATGTAACTGGAGTACGGTATTAGAACACAAACAGTACCATTAAACATTAATGAGGAAAGAGTAGAATTAGAGCTCATTTGGCTTCAGCTAAGGAAGCGTAGAATTAGAGCTCGAAGAAAATTCCACTTTACTGGCCAGTATAGGAGTTAAGTTTCAGACCTCTAACACCACTTAGATAATACTATGTCCAAAATGCAAAAAAATACAAATCGTAGGAGGGTATGCACATGCCCGTCGAAATGATTTGGTACTAAATTGACATTGACATGACTAGCATCGGTCTTGGTACAGATAATTCATGACAAAAACTGATAGATATAGATTTGAGTGATCTGACGGAACAAAAGACTTAAAAAAAATCCCCCACAAGCTTCCGTGTACTCCTACGAAACAAACCAAATTTCCCATATCAAGCAAAACAAGCCTTCGCGTGCTGGCAAGCATTCCAATATTTATGAAGGTACTCCTACATGGAGTCACTATGTAAAAAAAAACAAATCCAATGTGTCACATCTAAATTAGGTTGAATGTGTCGAGGGTGTACATCTATCAAAACACAAAGCTTAAACTCCACACCATCTAAAGAACACCCATACCCATTTGAAAACAATATGTGCACCAAGTAATTCAGTGCCAGTACCGAACATTTGTGCACCAAGTAATAAAAGAAAAGTTCAACACACAATACCATCAGCAGATTGAGCAATGAATATTGTCGAATTTTGACCAAACAATACAAGTTAATAGCCAAGATATCCCGCAAGAAAAAAGTCTCCAAAGGTGTGGGTGATCTCACAATACCAGTTACAGGAAACACGGCATAGAAACTGCCAGATCCTCAACAAGAATAATCAGATCTAAAGTATCAGATTACCTTAAAAAAAGGACAAAAGCAAATTATCAAGTAAAGATAACATGCTTGAGCCATCTGTGGGCTGCTCAGAAAACAGAATCCGCATATTCAAGACCAAAAATACAAGATTAACAAAACTACTCATTCAAGAAAACCGATTACGCTACCAACGCAAAAGTGCAATGTGCAGCTAGCAATGTTATGGAAAGAATTGTGCTCTAACAAATCATGGGTACAATCAAAAGAAAATTACTACTATACATATCTACATTCCTTTCATTGGATTTCCATTTAATTGAAGATGCAATTATGCAAACCCTGCATCATCCACCACTCCGTAAAGAGGACCATAAACACTTGCAAACAAACATATGCAAAATTATAATTACAGAAGAAAATAACCGCTACAATACGCATAACACAAAATAAAACTGATAAAAACATAAACTCAAGCGCCTAGTTGTGACAACTATCACAAGAATCCACAAATTCATCACCATTTTCCCACTCGCAACAAATAGCATACCAATACAAAAATGCCAAGCATTCAGTCGAAGTCATTAACAGACCTTGGTTGACGAACAAAAGCCAAGTCACAGACAAGTGTTCATAACTTGCTTGTTTTCAAAGGGAAACAAAGGCCATCAACACGGCATTATAAAAATATTAATCAACAAGTCATATATAGTTCCAAAAGAAACTTCAGATTATAGTAATGAGCATTATAAAGACTGAAACAACCTTGCGTATATAAGGGATACAACTATTGTTACTGTGTGCCGCAAAACTACACTTTAATGATATATTTGGTCAAACTACACTTGGCATTATTGTTCCAAAAAGCCAAGCAAATTTTAGGTCTACATTAGACCATTACTCACCCTAAGTTGGTTCTTAAAAGTTTCTTGCTGTAGAACTGTGATAAGCAATGTTAACAAAACAATAGCAGTTATTCTGAAACCAATTGTTAAGACATTAGAATCCCTGAAAGTATAAATACCTTACTAGTTATAATTTCACTTCTGATAGTGTAAAAAATTGTAACTGATACAAGAATCACCTGACAGAAGAATTGTTCAAACGTAGCTACTGGAAAACAAATGTGCTGAAACGAAATCTTGAAGTCAAAGGGATAATAATCATCAGAAAAGACAAGAAGCAGATGTCCACATTACATGGTACACCGAATTTATTAACGAGAGAAGTAGAAGTTTGAGGGCTAAAATAAACCACGTGACGAGGTAGATGCATAACCACATCCCAAGAAAAACGGATGCACTAATTAACGGCGGCAACAAGGTTGCACAGCAAGTACTGTCATATGTAAATGGATAAACCAAAAGAAACTATGCATGCATGTCAGTAAGAATCTACTTCTTGTACAGTTCTCATCAATATGCATGAATCCTAACAGTCTGTCAGTATTTGCAACAGTTAAGAAACACCAATAGTGAAACGTCCTATATTGACAGATCAACTATGCCGCGTTAAAAAGACATATAGCCGTTATTTAATAGAGATAAGCCCACCAGCAACAGCAAACTTTTTGTTGATGAATTAAGGGATAACATAATAATTCCTAGAAACAATATGAAACTGATAGCAAAATTTGTCGAGCTAGAGCCTATGAATACATTCGGATGCATCAAATAAAGAAGCAATATGAACAGTAAACATGTCCCCAAATGTTTAGGGCAGTCGACAAGGCGAAATGGAGAAAACGCCTAGATTATATATATACATGAGATAACAACAATTTGATGATGACAAGATAGCGCCCAACCACATCAATGCAAAGAAAATTAAAAGTTATTCACAACTCATGACTGCCTAGACGAGCTATGTGCAGTTAACTTGTCACAGCGTAGTACTCCAACTAAGCAGGCCGACCAAAATTTTCACTAGGACAAAGCAAATGAAAATACAGTACAGCGTACAGCAATCCAAGACAAGGGAGTAAAGGAACCAAAAAAACACCCGTAAACAAAAAAGCATGTGTCTTTGAGCAACCAGTGCATGGCTATGCTTTTACCACACCTTTCTTTCTTCTCACATCTTGTCATCCTCGATGGGATCCGGCACAAGGAATAAATATGGGAACTCGCCCAAAAAAAATGAAGTGAAGGGAGCAGGAAACCACCATGATCCTGCCTCCCCTTCCCGTCTACATGTCAAAAGAAGAAGAGGCAGCAACAATCTCGTTAACATAGTTTAACAGCAATAAGATGCCTATAATATGGGCAGGAATGCTCTAATCACATGCATTGCACATTGTCGTCACGGATACAAGTTCCGATGCATGCAGAAGATGCTCTCTCTAGTGAGCACAAAGCCAAGCCAAGAACCCACGCCTCCCTCACCAACCCATAGAAAAAGAAGCGATAAGAGTAAAACAAAGACAACGAGGGTGCAGTGCGGACAAACAATTCATCGGAGGCCAAATTAAGCACGCAAAAGAGTGAAGGCCAAGCAAGAGTCAAACTTTTCAGCTCGAAATACTTCACCCACACAACAGTATTTCTATCACGAGCTCGAACAGTGCACGCCTCTACCTGCTGCTCCAGTATATCAGTATAATAGCTTGCACCCCTGAGCAAATCCCCATATAAGGAAAAACACCAGGCATCGGGAACAAGAACCGAAAGGCAATTATAATACTTTCTTATGCTTACTGATTTAATCTTGCATTATCTTCTTTGGAATTCTTCCTAACAATTATTAATCTCTACTCCAATGGAAAGAGAAAAAATGAAAAAAGAACAGCTACTGCTAAGGTAGTAGTACAAGCTAACAACAATTCTCCGATGTTATTATACTACAACAACGATAACACTAACACCACCGAAGATATGAGTAGTAGAACAAACAGCATGCGTTGATGCCCCTTCGTGGTGGTACGGGGCAAGAACGACGAGAGAAAAAGAATGGCAGTAATTGGTGTAATAACCTTACTCTTCTATAAGAAGCTCAGTTCATGGTGTTACCATAGCTCGATCCGCCGAGAATGTGCGGGCCTCCGCCGCTGCCGCCGCCGCCGCCGTACAAGTCCGAGTGCACCATGGAGGAGCCGCCTTCTCTCATGGCATTGCCGGAAATGGAGGCCCCGCCGAGGTGGAGCTCGGAGATGTTGGGCACGCCGCCGGCCGTCGAGTCGTCATTGCTCGTGGCGGCGAGGCCGCGGCCGTCGTCGACTCCCTGGTCGTACAGGAACCCCTTGAACACGTGCCCGTTGATGGTCACCGTCGCCTGGTACGCGTACTCGTCCTCGCCGTCGTCGATGGACGTCACGCGCACGCACCTGAACACCGCCGGCGCGCGCACCTGCCTTGGCAAGCTCTCCCTAAACGACGCGTCTGCAACAATGGCACAAGCTTACTGCTAATCAATTGAGCATGTCGAATTGCGCGTACTACGTGTGCTGGTATCAATGGCGGGTTTACCTTGATGGCTGGAGGTGGTGTCGAAGCTGCGGGGCGTGGTGGCGTTGGAGGTGGAGGTGTGCGACGTCGTGGTTTGGGAGGTGAGAAGGCGGGGCTTCTTGGAGGCGGCCGCGGCGGAGGCGGTTGCCGGGGAAGACGAGGCGGAGCCGGTGAGCTGCTGGCGCTCGCGGCGGCGAGCGGCGGGCACCCAGGTGCTCTTGACGTGGGTGGAGCAATCGAAGCCGCGGCTCTTGCAGCACGTGCGGCAGCGCTGGTGGCCGCAGTCCTTCTTCGCTTGGTTGCCGCAGTCCTGGCACGTCGCCGCGCCGCCGGAGCCGGACGATCCGCCGCCGGTGTCGAGCATCGGGAGGGGCTTCTTGAGGTAGGGGAAGGCGCTGGAGCTAGGGTTAGGGTTACCACCCGCCGCCGATGACGGCAGCTGCGGCGGCGGCTGCCAAAATTGGATCGCGCTGCCCGACGCCGCCGACTTATCCGGATCAAGCACGCAGGGGCCGGCGGAGAGCAGCGGGAAGATAGGATCGGCGGCCGCCGCCGCCGCGGCGGCGGCAGCGGCGGCGGCCTCGTGGTGGTGGTGGTGGTGATGTGTGTGGTGGAAGGAGGCGGCGGGGGTGACGACGACCATCCCGACGTCGGCCATGCCGTAGTTCAGCGCGGCCTGGCGCGAGGAGGAGGCCGGGCCCCATAGGCCGGCGGCCAGCGAGGCGCCGGAGGGGGCCGCGGCCGCGGCGGTGGCATTGAAGCCGAGGGAGAGGTCGTCGCCTCGGCCGGCGGCCGCCGCCGCCGCGGAGGAGGCGACCCAGTCCGCGAAGGCGCCGGTGTCGGATGGGAAGCGCCGTCCCGAAGCCACACTTATATCCGCGGATTTCGCAGCTGCAAATGATAAAAATACGGCTTAATTTCCGCACTTAGAGCCTAGATTTCTTTCCTTAAAGAGCTACTAGTAGCAGTAGGCTCTCTCTCTCTCTCTCTCCTCTTCACCTTCTTCCCTATCTCTCTCTCTCAAGCAGCAGCAGCCGCCATGAGAGACCCAGAGAGAAAAAACAAAACAAAAACAAACCAAAAACTAAAGGAAAGAAAGGAAGAAAAGAGAAGAAAAGGAGAGGAGAAGAGAAGAGAAGGAAGAATAAAAATCTCCACTAAATTAACAACAACAAATACTCACGCAGCTGAGGCCTCCTCAAGTAAAGGCTGAGAAGTCTCCTCGATCTCCCGTAAGTGCACTAGACTGGCCTGTCTCTATCTCCGTCTACGATAGCTGCTCGCTGCAGCTAGCTGCGGCTGCTACGACTCCAGCTCGTCCGCTATCTCCAAGAAGAGCCTATAGTACTACTACTACTACTACCACCAGCAATCAAGTGAAGGTGGGGAACTCTTCTCCTTTTTCCTTTTCTTTTTGTCACTTGGCTGCTGCTGCTGCTGCACATTTGAGAGGGATTTGTGTGCAGTGTAGTAGGGGAGGAGGAAGCTAGCTAGTGTAGTAGTAGTACATGGAAGAAGGGTCACTCTCACTCTCGCTCCAATAGAGGAGAGGAGAGGAGAGAAGAGAGGAGGCAATGAAAGAGGAGACGAGGGAGGAGGAGATGAGGAATTTAAGTGGGTGGCTTGGGGTGGAGGGCCACGACTCTGAAATTCCTCTGGGAGATCGTCTCGATCACTCCCTATCGATGATCTATCTACTTCTATCTTTGGCGGTGGGATGGCCTTTTTATTGCCTGCCTTTGGCGCCGCTGCTCTTCTTTTTTGCATTGCACTCCTCATATGCCTCACAAAACGCACACATATACTACGAGAGTGTAGCAATAGTACACATGCCGCGCACCGCACAAACCGAAAACACCGGCCCTCGCTTTCTCTGCAGCAGCGCAGCCTGCCTGATGACGAGCTTCTTCTGCAGCAGCACTTCTGCTCCTGCCGTTGCTGCTGCGGCTCTGCGTTAAAAGCTACCCCAGCGAGGCGTGGATCTAGATTCTACTCTGGTGGCTACCAACATCGGTATCAATGTAAAACTCGCGCATCCCCACGCGCACAAATGACAAAACCTCCCTATTCCCATTGGCTTTCCATAGCCCTTCTCTTCTCCTCTCAGATCAGAGATGCTCCGTTCCAACTTTACAGCTCTCTCCTCTCATCACAAACAAGTGTTTACGCAATTTATGTGATTTTCATATTTCACGTGCAAATCATAAATCAATCTTTTGAAACCTATTGTTTTATTCCATCTACTCCTCTGTCTCAAACCCATATGTTAAATTCATCGCATACATTAAATCTAACCCGTTCGAGATGAATCGCATATGGGTTAGACTTATTTTGGAACAGGTGGAGTATGTTGTAACATTATTTTTTTTAATGCTCCGATTAACTCGGCGCTGCAATTAAAGATCAGGAAGGACATTTCCAACGTCTTCTTTTTACTTTATGCCACTCTCCTGGATAGCGCACGCTCAAATACCACTCTCTCGACAAACTTTCATTATTTACCATCCAAGCTAGCCCACTAAATTGTTTTCATTGTGCTGTTTTTTTTTTGCTTGCCAACACAACCAACTGACGTGACAACAGGTTGAAATAACCTTGTTGCCCCTATTCTCTCTTCTCCCTCGAGAGCCCCATTGTAGCCACGCTAAAGGCGCGGTGACGAGAACCTCATCCGACTATGCTTCTAGTATTATTTTTTAAAAACATATTGTAAATCTAATATAATATGTATTATTACTATGCTTTTAGTATTGTCCATTCGCAAGGATTTATTTGATACCTCTAGTATTATGTCATGTTGTCACTAGACAATCACCGCCTTCGAACCACTCTCATCTTCTTCCTCCGCCACAGCAAACACCTCACTCTACTGGAGCCACCACTGCCACCAACCATCACCCCCTAACCACTTTTCCCTTGCTTCCCGCCCCACTGTTTTCTCCGAACGCACGACATTGGTCGTCTCCACTACCCCATCGCCGTCCACCACACATGCAAAGCGTTTGCACCCTTAGTCCCTCCCTCTAACCCCTATCCCACTCTCTAGTCGGGGATGGAAGGGATGACTAGGTGATACACTAATATTTGGTGGGAGATCTAAAGTTAGAAATTTCTATGTTCTTACCCAAGAAAATCATTCCAATGTTAGCTTTTACCAAACACCTGCAACCAGTGATGGACAAGTTGCAATCAAGGTTAGCGGGATGGAAAGGGAAGTTAATCCAGCAATCAGGGCGGAAGACGCTAGTCACGTATGTTCTCAGCTCCATACCAACCTACTTCCTTACCGCCTTAAAGCCGCCTAAACAGTTCCTCACAGACATGGACAAGATTAGGAAGAAATTCCTCTGGGCCGGCGATCAAGAGATTAGCGGGGGGAAGTGCAAAGTGAATTGGAAAAAAGTATGCTCCCCAATAAAGATGGGAGGACTAGGCGTGTTGGACCTTGATAAATTCGCGAGAGCTTTAAGACTCCGTTGGCTATGGTTTGAGTGGGAGTGCCCTGACAAACCTTGGGTTGGGACAACACCCCCCTGCGATGAGTTAGATGAGCAAATCTTCGCAGCCGCAACAAAGGTAACAATCGGTAATGGGCGGAAGGCAAAATTTTGGACATCCAACTGGATTGGACACCAGCCGCTGAAATACCTAGCGCCAGCGCTTTTCAACCACTCTAAAGGAAAGCAACGCTTGGTTCAGGATGCGTTAACCAATGACAAATGGATTGAGGATATTAGGCATGAGCTGTCCATGCCACTGATCCGAGAATTCTTCGCAGTGTTCCGCCTTATCTGGGATAATGAGACAAACCTGGAGGAAGTAGTTGAAGACACCATCACCTGGAGATGGACAAATACCGGTAAATACACAGCAAAATCGGCTTATTTAGCCCAATTCGCCGGTAGAGAAGACTCAAGGGCCGCCACCTTGATTTGGAAGACATGGGCGCCATCCAAATGCAAAAACTTTGCATGGCTTGTCCTACAAAACAGGATATGGACATCCGACCGCTTGCAACTCCGACAATGGCCCAATAACTACTTTTGCCAACTCTGCTACAGGAACTTGGAGACGGTGCAACATTTATTCAAGGATTGTCCATTCACGCAAGAAATTTGGGACAAAATAATGGCTAGGATGAACCACAACCAACCCTTCCCGATGCACAATCCGGACGAGAGCCTAGTTGACTGGTGGGAATCAAGAACAAAGCAACAAAGCAAATGTCAAAGTAAGGGGATGCAGTCACTGCACATGCTCTTGAGTTGGGAAATCTGGTGCGAGAGGAACAGGCGAGTTTTCAAAGATAAAGAACTTCAAATCCCTCAACTAACGGCAAGAATAATGGACGAAATACATACATGGTCGGCATGTGGGGCAAAAAAATCTTGCGAGAATAGTGCCTTAACCTCTCATCCTTTATTGTAATTTTCCTTTTTTTTCTGCTCTCCTCCCCCTGTCTTTCCCCTTGTCACCATTGGTGGCATTTGTACAGTGCTTATCTTCTGAAATATAAAACTAGCTAAGCTGGCTAAGGTTTCAAAAAAAAAAACTTTTACCAAGGGAACTCTTTGGATTATTACCAGAATGTTGACACGCCACCAGCAGTAACCATGATTAATGAGAACCATCTCTTCGAAACAAGTTTTAAGGTACTACTTTATCGATAGACCATAAATTGTTTGACTAAAAATCTAAAATAATAAAAAGAGGCATGTTGCATTTGAATATGTTTTGAGCTTATTCTAGGCGTCCAACGCTTATGCGGTTCATTTGAGAACAGACCATCTATAGTGTTATATTCTAATTTTAAGTGGCTGACATATGGACCGTATATTCAACAGGTCCACATGTCATACACCTGCGTCAAAGGACTCATCTTGTGCATTCTCCATCTGGAACATCCTCCTCGCCGTCTCCGGGCTCCGGCCATTGCTCCATTGGGTAGGACGGGAGGAGTAGCAGCAGTAACGCACTGTGTATCTCCCCTCTCTGCTCTTCAGCAGCAGCAGCATGATCTATGATTGGGGCAGGCACGAATGACTCTTTTCACTTCACTGCCTGCGCCGTGGGCTCTCCTTCGCCCTCGTTTTGTTTCATCCGATGGGATCTCCAGTTTCCTGTGTCAGCTCAGTAGTCAGGAAGGTGCTTCATTAGAGAAGGAATTAATTAATCATGTTGATTGCCAACATGAAATTGGTAGTGTAGAAAACATAAGTAGGATACGTGAAGGTTTGTATGCGTACTACTCCATCCTTAAAAAAAAACCTGCCTTGTACTGAGATTTAACATCCTAACACAGTGAATTAGAGTTTAGACGTAGCGTATGTTTAGATTCATTATTATATCCTAATACGATGTTTTTTTTTAAGATGGGGATGTATGTATGTGTGGAGAGAGGGGAATAGATACTTCCGGTTGTTGTCATGGCAATCATTGTAGAGATCTATGGACGTCAATGAATAATTGAAGTCCCTCACGGCTGGATGACCAAAGGTGCGTTCAAGCATGAAACATGCCTGCATCCATGCCAGTTATAAGTAGACGTGCAGTACAGCAACGTCCAAATCCAAGCAATCTTTCGATATCTAGTCATAGATTCAGCTTCGTACACGGCATCTCTAGCGGTCCCCCAGTGGAAGGCTAATCCGACACCTTAAACACAGAAACGTTCACATGAACAGCAGAGAAGAAACACGAGTCCAAAAGTCCAAACCGGCCAAGCCACCACTGGAGCGAAGCTGTAGCGTGCGCCGCAAATGGGAAAATTAGGCCGCAAAGCGATCGATCGATGGATCACATGACATGCGATGCGTTGCCCCCACACACACCACACGGGGGCCCGGCTTTGCTCGGCACAGGACGGACACATCACCGATCCGTCGATCAAAGCGCCGCACGGCGCGCAACACCGCCGCTCTTTTCCTAGCTCCCCTTTTGCTTTCCTCCCCAAAGTAAAAAAGAAAAAAAAACGTACGCCACAAATGGAAGTAGAAACAGTTGCACACAAAAAGGTTACGCTTAGCTGCTTGCGTAATCTCACACGCTAATCTATCTGGTTTAGTACTCGTAGCACGCCAAACCAAACTGTGCCTGCGACGAGCAAAAAGTAGGCAAAGCAAAGCCAACTCTGGGCCACGACCACGATGGATACGTGACGACAAACCGGCGATGATGGGGTCGGGTCGTCCGAGCTGGGGTCCCAAACGTACGTGAACGAGCGACGCAAAGAGAGCTTTTCGATCGATGCATCCATCGGTGAACTCCTCGATCGCTCGCTCTCGCATGACCTGCCCCCAGCTAGCGTCAGCTTTTGTTGCTTGCGATGCGAGCGATGGATCGAGCAAAACAAGGTAAACGTGCCGGTTTCCTCCTTCCCGTGATGATGGATGATGACCCCGATTATTGGTGAGAGCGTCGGCAGCTTTGCGGCCGGAGTCACCGGACGACATTTATTCCGTTCCGCTACACCAACACGTGAAACGGCTTCTATCGGGTAGTACGTCCGATCTAAACTGAATTGTCACAAACCACCTTTTTTTTTCTCCGTTCGGTTTATTTAATCCTTAGATAAGAAGTAGACACGCTGTCATGCACATTCGTGAATACAGAATGCCTACCATTTAACGTGAAGTCTCATGATACGGATGTTACAAAAAAATTTAACCGAA